CTTTCTTAATAGCACGCGCGCTATTACGGCCACACACAGCGGTATTGGCTCATGTGTTAGACTTATACACAGAATGGATCCCCGTGTTGTCCTAAAAATAAACTAATAACAAGGATCCGTGTTGTCCTAGATTGGGTTTCCAAATCTCACGTTTTTTTGTATTGTTTGTTGTGGTAATTTTCTAACGCGGCACTACTGGACATCTGTGAAAAAGAGCTTTATAGCTCATCGGACTCCTCCAGTGTAAGTTAACAGTCTGATTCTGATCATTGCTCGAATACGCGCTGTGTTAATTCGTGTGAAAAGCTTGGAGATTCACATGATGGATGGAGGAATAAAGAACATGCTTTAATATTGTGAACGTCCGTAATATTTTGTTCACATTGAATGCATTTCGGACGCAGTTATAGCATTGTATTGCACTTTGTGGCCAGCAGACGGCAGTCCCGCACATAAACTGTACTATAATTGTTGTACGGCACTGCTGTGCTACCCACCTTCACGAACCCTAGTGTGGTGTCAAATAACCCCCACGACTCAGCACGGCGTGGCGGGGGGTGGACGTGCATCCAGCAGTGGATTTACAAATCGCTGTTTCGTCTCACCCATCACACTGTGTCCAACAACCACATGTGTGCAGGTCACAACAACACACTCACAGACTCACCCACTTACCACACTGCAGGTCACAACAACACAAACTCACCCACCCACTCACCCACCCACTCACCACTGCAGGTCACAACAACAACACACTCACAGACTCACCCACTTACCACACTACAGATCACAACACACTCACAGACTCACCCACTCACTCACCCCTGCAGGTCACAACAACACACTCACAGACTCACCCACTTACCACACTACAGATCACAACAACACACTCACAGACTCACCCACTCACTCACCCACCCACTCACCACACTGCAGGTCACAACAAGCACACTCACAAACTCACTCACCCACTCACTCACCACACTACAGATCGCAACAACGCACTCACCCACTCACTCACCCACCCACTCACCACTGAAGGTCACAACAGCACACTCACAAACTCACCCACTCACCACACTGCAGGTCACCTGTCTTTTGTTGCTTCCTCCCTTCGTCTCTCTTTCTACACAGGCTCTTGTAATAAATAACCTTGCTGAATTCAGGAAGTGCGTGTCACTCTTATCTATTACAACTTAGTGCCCTTTGTTGCTGGCTGCTAGATCTTTTGTTATTTTGCTCAGCAACTGTGTACAAAAAAAACCGTTCCACCCTAGGTAATACTGCTTTCTACAGTGACCCATGGCTCCTACCATCTGGGAATTGCCCAGTAAGATTGGAACGTTGGGAAAAGGTTAGGCCAACATCGGTCCAACAAAATGCCAACGTTGACCCAACATTGCCTGTTCACCGAGGGAGGACTTGTTTAGTATTTGCCCCAGGGCTCTGTTGTATATATAATAGCCCTCTGATCTCAATGTCTCTCACCTCAGGAGGATTCAGGTTAATGTTGCGGAGCTCTCAAGCATACAGGCGGTGCAACTCCGTGAGGACTTCCAACAGCCAGATGAGGCCCTTGCTCGGGGCGACTAAAAAGTCGGGGACATTGGAGATATAAATTCCAATTAAATGCCTTGCACCAAGGGCCCGTGCCAAAACTTTCTCGCCGCAGAAAAGATAATATAAAAACACCCAAAGTATTTCTTATACATTCCATCAGCTCCACGGCCTTCTGGGGGCGCATACTCTCAGCAGCATGGGCTCAGTCCAAGCAAACCTCTCGACCAGTTTCGGTATTCTGTGTCTCACCATCAGGGTCAGCCTCGCTTGCATTGATGTTGGCGAACTGGGGAAACGTAATAATGACCGTCTCTTGAAGACATGGGTCCAAGCAACTAAACATATCACGCTGCCGAGGTCTCCATCGACACACAAACCAGGCCTCGGAGACAGGATTGACGGGGGAACACGTGGGGAATGGAGGAGTGAGGATGGAGTGCATTAGCGGAACATCGTGGATAAGACGTGATTTGGAGGATGGGAGAGAGATGGTGGAGGAGGGTGATGACAGAGAGCCGTGGTGAATGGGAATGACGGAGTGGGTGACGGTGGAAGATAAAAAAAATACAATGTAAGGTCCACTGAACAACGTAGTTCTTTTTTAGAAGCGACCTGGCCACAAATGAGATCTCAGCGAAGTGAGTTATCATGTGGCAATTTATAGCAGCCAAACATTCTAAACGCGTGATGTGGTGGGAAAAACCGAAGGACCCGGAAAAAAATCCATGCGACCACGGGAAGAGATACAAGCAAATTCCAAACATACAACAGGCGTAAGGGTCGGGATGGAACCCACGACCTCCTGCGTACCAGGCGAGGTAGCTAACGTCTCGCCACCGCGGCACCGCAGGCAAGCAATGGAGGCAGTGTGATAATGCTGCTGATGAGGGCATCTGACAGAGGGAGACTGGAGGGGAACTTGAGGTGGGGGGGGGGGATGGAGAGGGATGAAGGACGGCAGAGAGGTGGCAAGTGTTAAATACCTCCCCTGATATACAGGAGGTCGTAGATTTGATCCTGATCCTGACGCCTGTGTGGTTGGAGTTTGTGTGTCTCTCTCCCCTTGGTCGCGTGGATTTTTCTCTGAGTCCACATTTAGAATCAACATCACGACTTCAGAGTATTTGGCTGCTATAAATGTCCACGTGATAAGTCACTACTTCAGTGAGCTGTCACCAAAACAATATCTCTAAATATAAGTGGGGCCTTACGTGGTCAAATTAAAACATAGTTGACGACGTTTGTTTGTCCTCTCTCATGCCGTGTGGGTCGTGAACGTTGTTTGACCACTCGTCGAGCTGATACATCAGTGGGGCTTTGCCTGGTGGGATGAGAATGGTTTAGTGTTGTATTTGTTTGTGTTTGGGTGATTTTTTTACCTTACTTGTACGTTGCACTACTCTCGTGTTTGTGTACTTTTGTTGTTGTGACGTTCTTACCCCCGTGCCACTAGTTGACATCTGTGAAAAAGAGCTTTACAGCTCATCGGATTCCTCCAGTCTAAATATTATGATAACTCAGTTGGGGCCTTACCTGGTAAGCTTTAAAAAATATCTATATCTATATTCTTGGTTCTTTCGGTAAAGTCACGTAGAAGGGAAACAATCAAATAATAAAAATATAAAACAATAAAATTCTCACGACGTTTCGACTGCAACACAAGCAATCATCATCAGGTGTGCCACATGATGATGATTGCTTGTGTTGCAGTCGAAACGTCGTGAGAATTTTAATGTTTTATATTTTTATTATTTTATTGTTTCCCTTCTATGTGACTTTACCGAAAGAACCAAGAATATGAATCCCTGCAGTCACGAAAGCTTTAAATACAAAATATCTCGTTCATAGTTTATTTTATAGTTCATAGGATGTTGGAGGATGATGGAGGAGGATGATGGAGGATGATGATGGAGGAGGATGGAGGATGATGGAGGAGGATGATGGAGGAGGATGGAGGAGGATGATGGAGGATGTTGGAGGATGATGGAGGATGTTGGAGGAGGATGATGGAGGATGATGATGGAGGAGGATGATGGAGGAGGATGGAGGAGGATGGAGGATGATGGAGGATGATGATGGAGGATGATGATGGAGGATGATGATGGAGGATGATGATGGAGGATGATGGAGGTTAATGATGGAGGAGGATGGAGGATGATGGAGGATGATGGAGGATGATGATGGAGGATGATGATGGAGGATGATGATGGAGGATGATGGAGGATGATGATGGAGGAGGATGGAGGAGGATGATGGAGGATGATGATGGAGGATGATGGAGGATGTTGGATGAGGATGTTGGATGAGGATGTTGGAGGATGATGGAGGAGGATGGAGGAGGATGATGGAGAATGATGGAGGATGATGATGGAGGATGATGATGGAGGAGGATGGAGGAGGATGGAGGAGGATGTTGGAGGATGATGGAGGAGGATGGAGGAGGATGTTGGAGGAGGATGATGGAGGATGATGGAGGAGGATGTTGGAGGATGATGGAGGACGAGGAGGAGAATGTAGCGAGGTCGTTGGGGGGGAGGAGTCTCCCCAGGCCCCCCGCGTCGGCTCCACCCCCCCCCCGTCGCCATGGAGATTCGCATGACGCGCCCCGCAGATCCGGGCTCGGGGCTCCGAGCCCCGGGAGCGAGGAGGTAGGGGAAGAAGTGGAAACACCGCAGGGAGACACAGGGAGACACCGCAGGGAGACACGGGGACACCACAGGGAGACACGGGGAGACACGGGAAGACACGGGGACACCACAGGGAGACACAGGGAGACACCGCAGGGAGACACAGGGAGACACAGGGAGACACGGAGACACCGCAGGGAGACACCACAGGGAGACATAAGGAGACACGGGAAGACACGGGGACACAAGACACAGCAGGGAACGAACGGGACACAGCCAGAGACAAGGCATCTTCCCCGTGAGACAGGGGCGCAAGGGACACAGGGAGACACGGGGACACCACAGGGAGACACCGCAGGGAGACACCACAGGGAGACACCGCAGGGAGACACCACAGGGAGACACGGGGGGACACAGGGAGACACGGGGACACCACAGGGAGACACGGGGGGACACAGGGAGACACGGGGACACCACAGGGAGACACCGCAGAGGGACACCACAGGGAGACACCGCAGGGAGACACCACAGGGAGACACCGCAGGGAGACACCACAGGGAGACACGGGGGGACACAGGGAGACACGGGGACACCACAGGGAGACACGGGGGGACACAGGGAGACACGGGGACACCACAGGGAGACACCGCAGAGGGACACCACAGGGAGACATCGCAGAGGGACACCACAGGGAGACACCGCAGGGAGACACCACAGGGAGACACGGGGACACCACAGGGAGACACGGGGGGACACAGGGAGACACGGGGACACCACAGGGAGACACGGGGGGACACAGGGAGACACGGGGACACCACAGGGAGACACGGGGGGACACCACAGGGAGACACGGGGGGACACCACAGGGAGACACGGGGACACAGGGTCTGTGGGCAGGGCGTGTTACGGAGCGAGACGTGGAGGCAGGTAATCGTCCACGCAGGAGACGCGGGTTCACTCACGGGACACGGGGTGGAGCAGGAGGTGACTTCGCGCACTTGGCATCACTGTAAACTCCTCCTCATCCTCCTCCATCATCACCACCACCTCCTCCTCCTCCAGGGATCTCCCACTCGCGAGGAGAAGGCGGCCCGATGAGACGAGGTTGCTGGGGGGGCTTTTGTGGAGGAGCGCTTCGGTTGAGGAAGCTCCAGCAGGAGCGTTGTGATCCAGAGGTTGAGGGGTTGCAGTGAATTGAGGGCGAGGTTGGGAAGAAGGGGGTGCTTGAGGAGGCTGCGAAACGTTGAGCAAGCTAAGGAGGTTGCGGGAGGAGGAGATTGACGAGGGGAGTGCGGGGAATTGAGGAGGTAGCCGAGGAGGGTTGAGAAGACGGGGAGAGGCTGATGTAGCCGAGCAGCTGGAGTCAAAATCTTGAGACGTTGGAGGTTGAGGAAGCTGAGGGAGAAGGCCGACGAGGTTGAGGAGGCCGGGCATGGAGGGCCGTGCGGGCTGGTGTGGCCTAGCCCGTGGCTGCTGCCACGCGTGCCCCGAGGCGGCCGAGAGGCGCAGCGTGGAGGCCCTCCTCGCCTGCAGCGGGACCGCGGACGAGGAGGACGACGAGGAGGAGGAGGAGGCGGTGAGGACGAGGGGAGCCTGGGCTGAAGAGGTGAGAGAGAGAGCTGCTTGTTCCGTCAGCACATCGCGCCGACTGTGCGTGAGCCACGTTCAAGGATAACGGCGGTGGCCGACGCGGGATCGGCGGTGAAGCAGTGCCGGATTATCCTCGTAGCAAAAGTAGCTACACGTGTAGTAGTAGCTGCTACTACTACACGTGTAGTAGTAGCAGCTACTACATATGTAGTAGCAGCAGCTACTACTACACGTGTAGCAGCTGCTACTACTACACAAGTAGCTACTACTACATGTGTAGCTGCTACTACTACATGTGTAATAGCAGCTACTACTACATGTGTAGCTGCTCATACACATGTGTAGTTGCTACTACTACATGTGTAGTTGCTACGGGCCCCGCGCTGAATGCTTTCAAGCTATCAATTCTGGTTCAGTGATTCCGCACTTGCTCTATTACTATAATGCTATTACTATAGTACTATAAGGTTAGCGACTTGTATTATCTGGCTGTATAGCAAATGAAAAAATACATTTACTTTACTGGGCAAGTAAAAAAAAAGTGTGTATTTATTTATTTATTCAGGGCTCCCTTATAACACATCCTACCGGCCCCGCACGAGCTTAATCCGGCACTGCGGCGGAGTGAGGAGTGTTGGCTCGCGAAGCGGTGTGGCGTTAGCGAAGGGGGGCCCGTTGAAGTGCTGCTGAATAACGCCGAGCAACCAGAACCTCGTGGGGTTTGGGGGGAACTCATCCAGCCAGATAGTGGATGGACTGCCAGTAGGGACTGCGCGACCGTGTGTACGAGTTTCTTGAGCGGTAACTGTGGAGAGATTGGGGGGGGGGGTTGTTGGATGTGGGTGCCCGTAGTGATTTGTAACCGGAGATCCGGGTCATCGTGCATGGGCACCCAGAAGGGATGGAATTTGAATGATGGTGCCGTCACTGTCATTGCTGTTCCGTGTGTTGATCGCGGCGGGGGAGCATAGACGTGGGGGCACAGTGTAGTACAATGAAGTTCGCTGCACTGCCCACTGATGGCAAGGCAGTAACGCTGCCAGCCTACGGCGCGTGTTATGCCGAACAAGGCAATTAGCCAGCCAGCTTTTCGCGCCTTAGTAGCAGCGCACTCAGAGCAATTGTTTGAGCCCGTCTTCCATGCGTCCGGTGATATTTGCGGCCGTTCGTCAGCATTGGTTCAAGCAAGCCTTACTGCTCCGCTGATGAGACACCGGACGTCGAAGCCGGTCCAGTGTCGCTTGTCCTGAGATCAGCGCTGCCGAAATGACGCGCTTCCAGCAGGCCGCGTGCGGTGCCTGATGGGTTGCGTAAGAAATTATTTTACAGTAGTAAGTCGTCATGCGGAGAGGTGGATCGGTGAAGAAAACGTTAGTGGTGCTTATTTAAATCATCATCCAACGTGGGTCGACACAATAGGTATCACTTTGTGGGAGGCCAAACAGTGATTCAAACTAAACATTTTTTTTTAATTTTACTAGTTAAAACAAAAAAAGAGCTATAGAGCTCAACGGACCTTACCTGGTCAAATAAAAAAAATAGTTTCAGTAGTTTCGTTTTCCCTCTTCCATGCCGTGTGGGTCGTGGGTGCTGTTTGACCAATCGTCGAGTTGATCATTGCGAGTTGTTGAACGTGTGAGAGCACAGACGCAGTCTGTGCTCTCACACGACGTAGCCCTGCAGCCTATAACACCTGTTGTGCATGGAGTATACTGTCTTTGGGAGAAGATAAAACGTAAACATTTCGACCAATCGCAGAACAATTGCGTAGGATGTCCCCGGTTGCGCTGTGTGACTCTCCGATGCGTTATTGGATCGTGCCACGCGCGTTGTTCGCCATCATTGGCTACGTAGGTCCGAAAAGGTCAACATACGTACATTATGTCCGACGTTTTGCTCCACGCGTTGGGAGTTTCTTCAGGAAGTGAAAACACAATGCACGCAGTCCAACCCGAAAACAAAACACACATCAGAGAAGCAGACTCGGACTTTATTATTTTAGCCGCCAAGGCCCCATTGAGCCAGGCAGCTCCTTTTACTCCACCGACAGCCACAGACCCATCGGCTGTGGCCGCAGCTACAGCACCTTGCAGGGTGGACGGAATGCGTAACCAAGAGCAAAAACAACAAGTTATTATTGACACAAAACCCATGCCAAAACTTACTGCAAACCAGATAAACAACACAAAGTGCTTACATTAAAGCAAGCCTAGGACTCGTGCGTCATTGTTTTTGTTGTGATTGTCGTGGTTGTTGTTCCTGTGATTGTTGTAGTTGTTGTTATGATTGTTGTGGTGGTTGTTGTTGTTGTTGCTGTGATTGTTATTGTCATCATACTGCAGGTTCACGGTTGGCGCCGCTCCGCTCCCTACTCCCTGCTGACTCCGAACTCCGCGCGGCGCCGCGGCGCCACCGGCCCGTCCACTGCGCCCGCCCGCGGGTCCGCCGCGACCTTCCGCCATGGCACTCCGGGCCGGCCCGCGGCCGCTCGGCGAGCGGCCCGGGAGAGCGGTGGCCCGGGAGCGGCGCGGGAGACCTGGGACTTGGCCACAGAGCCGGGGGCTCGGCTCGCGACGCTTCAGCAGACCACGTGGGGCAGATGGACGGGGGACGAGTGGAAAACACGGACGGTCCACAGCGAGGGTTCGTCTCCACGGGGCTGCTACCCTGATCCCAATGAGCAGGATGAGGAGAAGGATGATGAGCAGGATGAGGAGGAGCATGAGGAGGAGCATGAGGAGGTGGAGGAACGAGGGGAGGTGGAGGAGCTCTCCTCGGCTGTGTCTCAGCTCCACGTGGCCTCGCGCGCTATCGTCAGGGACGAGGAGGAGGACTGCGCCACGTCGACCGATGAGCGGAATGAGGATTGGCGAGGCGCGCACCGCGGCCCCATGCAGGAATCCGGCTCCAAAGCCAGTGCGGCCCACGACAGCGACCAGGGGCCCAACTTGCCACCGTCGTTCAGCCTCTACTCAGTCCTGCCGCCGGTGAGGGGCGAGGCTCGCGGCTCTCTGGCCAATCCGGCGTCGGGGCTCTCCGATCCATGGCGGCACCTGGACGCGGACGTGCTCAGGATTGACAATTGCCGGCGTGTCGAGTCGGCACCGGCCGGGAGGGGAAGCGGCGGCTTGAACCACGAGCCGGCGGGCCGCCAACGCTGGAGGAGCTCCCAGCAGCCCGCGGCAGGGAGGGCGGCAGGGAGGGCGGCCAGGAGGGCGACAGGGTCGCGCGCTCACGAGCGAGCGGCCAGGATGCGATGCGGGGTCGGGACTGCCGGCAGGAAGGGCGAACGAACGGGAAAGGATGTGACGGAAAGGCCGGGTTCCGGCGGCGGGAGCGGTGGCGACGGTGGCAACGCGGAGAGCGTGGGGAACGTGCAGCCAGAGGGTTTCGGAACTCGGGATGAGCACAGGGCCAGGGGACGCCTGCCGCTAGTGCAGGGATGCAAGGTCCGTATCCCCATGGTACCACACACACTGCTCTTGTGACTAAGACCAACAGAGTGAAAAAACAGCCTCTGTATCATCGTCACCGCCACCATCGTCATCATCTGATCATCATCAAATGCTCCCTGGGACCTGGATGCGTCTGAGCTATGGTATGGATCCCCACGTGGGACTTTCAACTCAAACCACGGTTGAGAGATGTTTATCGGACGGTGTTAAAGTGCACCGAGTGCAATCGAGAGACACGTGTTAGGCCTGTTTGCAGCGAGCCACTGCTTGACGCTTACCGAAAAAAATACCCGCGGGAACACTCAGCTTACACGCGGGCGTGTGCGACGACCTCACTGCCACGCCGACTCGCCTTTCATCGCTCCGGACTCATTAGCGCGTGCGGCTCCATTGACTGGGGTCATTAATCACGGCGAGAGATCACTGGTCGCGGGATGTGGGTGTTGGCTTACGGTGGGCGTCGGTGGTGAAGGGAGGAGGGGGGGGCATTACGATGCTCGCAGCTTGTAGGACGAAAAGCACACCGGGACCGGAGCGCGGTTACTTAAGGCGGCAGCGGCAATGCAGTGGCAACCGGAGCTTGCTAACCTGTGGATCATCGTGCCCTCACTAGCCACTCCCACCCGCACCTCCACAAAAACCCATTTACCCTCACCCGCCCCCGGCTATTTGCAACGCTGAGATGCATAACGCTACGTTAGGTTCACTCAACTGACCACTGCGGGCCCCCTCCCACTGTCCCGCAAAGTTTGTGGTATTGGTACCACAGCACCATTGTGTAACCCCCCTCCCCCGCCCACACCAAGGGAGAAGGAATATTGGAATATTCGCTCCCGCCAGCGGACGTTTGTTGCCCTCAAAGAGGGCCGAGCGTTAAGGTCAGGTGAAGCGATATAAGCTGAGAAAAAAAACCCAGCTACTTCGAAGAGGGCACAGTTAGGGCCAGATGGTATGAACATTTTAAATGCTACTGAAAAAGTGTGAACTTTTTTAGAAATGCTGTAAAAAAAAGTGTCCTTAAAAAACAAGGTTGTACTTTGAAATACACGCGATTCCTTGTCTACAAAACCAAATAAGGGGGATACAAATATTGTGAAGCGGAAATAATACTTTGTTCGCCTAACTTGTAATGCTGAATGGTACTGGAGCATCGATGCGGCGGCTCACTCATTGCACTCTGATCCCAGCGACGTCGATTCAATTCCCAGCCACAGTGGCGAGTGACATCTGAACAGGTCCTGGGTTTCCCCCTCCTTCACCGACCTGCTCTTTCCATCGTGGTGAAGTATGGTCAAATTACCCCCATTACCGAGAAGGCGTGGGGAGGCATTCAGCAATGGATTGAATAGGGGCTGTACAATGACCTACTCCTCTCTACAGAACACATAGCGGCAGAGCGGTGGTGCAGTGCTCCACACTTGTGTCACAGCAAGAAGGGCCTGGGTTTGGATTCCCGCCTCGACAGCCTTTCATTGCGAAGTTTAATTTATTTTCCCCCTGTTCTGCGTGGATTTCCTCCAGCTTCCCCAGTTTCCTCCCATAGTTTAAAAACAAACAATCAAAACCCCATACAATGCAACCGGTGTTGATGAAAACAACTTGAATGCTGCAAAATTACCTGACAATTATTCAATCGAGATGACTTGCACACACACGTGGTCGGCGTTGGGTGCTTGCAAGTCGTTGGCGCTAAAAGACCCGGCAGGGGCGCTTGTAATTATTAACGGCCACGGGCGGGACCTCGAGCGTGCCCGTGCACGGCGATTGATCGTAACCGCCGACACTCGGCGACGATGTGTAATGTCGCCCCCCCCCCCCCCCCGCTGTAAAGTAACACGCGTCTTTAAACTATACAGACGCCACGGGAGGGGGTGCGGTCGTGCTGGGGTCGAGCAGAGGAACGGGGGATGGTTAAAGATTACGTACCAAGCCAGTATGTATGTTGAACTTCTTTGGCACTGTACGTAGCTAACCGTGCTAACCGGAGGTGCAGAGGAAGGACAACACACTAGTGTTCTTATTCGTAAGGTTTTCCTCTTAGTGCAAAGCAATTTATGTGCATTTTTTCGTAGGATTGTTAAGCGTTAATTGGAGGTAAATATACGCTTATGTCAAGGTGGCTATTCGGGTCTCTCACCATCACGAACCGCCTGTCCCGTTAAACGGATGTTGAAAGCGTGCGTGTGCGAGATGTATTCAACCACAATAGGCCGGATAAACTACAGTTAATCCCATCTGCTGATTCAGGCCAAATTAATTGGCCAGGATCACCTTGCCCAATTTTATTCGAAAGGGCGCCGCGGTGGCTAGGAGATGTTAACTACCTCACCTGGTATACAGGAGTTCGATCCCGACCCTGACGCCTGCTGTATATTTGGAGTTTGCACGTTCTCCCCATGGTCGCATGGATTCTTCTCCGGGTGCTCTGGTTTTTTCCCTCCACATTTCGATTCAACATGCGAGTATTTGGCTGCGATAAATTTCCACATAAGCCACTTCATTGAGCTGTCATTTGTGGTCCGATCGCTTTTGAAAAAGAGCTATATAGCTGAGTTGGCCTTTACCTGGTAAAATAAGTTTAGTTTTAATTTAGAAAATGCAGCTTTCAAGCCATGTTCTTGTTGCTGCCGCTCCACTGTCAGGCCATTTGACGCGTCGTGAATGATTAAAATGGAGAGATTATTATTCGCTCGAGCGGACTTGTTTTATTCACACTCAACTCTCGCGAACAGCAGTTTTTGCTGACGAAAAAAGAATAGGCTTCACCCTTCCCGGCAAGGCATCAAGGCTGCACTCACCACACGCATGCTTGTGATAACACAGTGCAGTTTCGCTGCAAAATTGTACAGTTATTTGCAAACGACGGTCAAAAACGAAATTTTAAATAAAGGATTTGGCAACACGTTGCTTGCACAATCGCTTGCGTCAACAGTTTTATTGTGCATTCTGTAGAAAAATATCCCAAAGTGCAAATAAACTAACTTCACATGGAACACCGATTCGACTTTATCGGGGATCCGCAACATCCCTGCAGCAGCAGCAGCATCGTCGTCTGGGAATCCGAGGATCAGACGGAGGCGTCGTAGCGTGGCGCCACTGTAACGCGAACCAGGTCCCCACTGCCCTGAGGGTGGCATTCACTATTAATGATTTCACCACGGCATCTTGGATACGGATCGTTTACATTGCTCGACAGCTGCCATGGTGGGGGGAGGGGGCCGGGGGTGGGCACCATTGTCCAGACACGAGTAACGCACGAGTGACGTCGCGCGCGGGGTGGCTGAACCAGCGCGATCGGCCGGCATTAAAAGTGGAAGTGCTGGAAAATGGAGGGCACATCGGCCTTGGCGCCTGCCCTCGACCCCGCGTGCGACTCCTCGCTCTCGGCCGAGGAGCCGTATCCTGGCGAGGTCTGTGCGTCGATGGACCCGAAGGGCGTCTCCATGCCTCCGAAGTCCAAATCCGAGAGCAGGAAGTCGTCCTCCATGGTCTGCGTCTCGATGCTGGTGAAAAAGAAATCGTCCAGGTCGTTGCGGGGCGTCTGGGTCTCGGCAGAGCTCAGAGGAGCGCGGGAGCTGCCCCCCGCCCGTGTCTCTCCGTGAAGTGAGCCGGGCTCGGCCGAGAAGTTCATCACCGGATTGTCGAGCTCGGGAATGGACGCGACTTGTTCCTGCGGCGCACCGGGCTCCGTCTGGGTTTGAATGTGCAGAGGCACGCAGCTCGACGTGAAGTCCAGCCTCAGTGCGTTGTCTCCTGCCGAGTCTTCGGTGGAGAACGAGGAATCTCTGCGCACATCCGCCCGCATCATGGAGGGGTGTGCGAGCATCTCGCCCTTGAGATCGATAGAATCAGGGCACGCCATGGAGGACCCTCGCTGCAAAAACAAGTCGGTCTGTGTCTCCGTGTTGAGGGCACTGTTGCACGCAAAAGTCATTTGGCTCTCGGGCAGCCTAGAGGCGTACTCTAGAAAGTTTCCAAGGTCAGTTTGGGTCTGAGTATCCAGCAGTTCAGCGCAGTTTCCAGAAAACCCAGCTCGGACTGCAGGGAATTCCAGGGAGGAGTCCTGTAACAGAACCTCCAGGTCGGTCTGGGTGTAACTGTCAAACATTTCCATGTTGAAGTCGTCTACCAGCATCATCGACGTCTGGGTAGCCCCGTCCACCCTCGTGCTATCGGGGGCTACGGAGTTCGGCGCCACCAGCGACGTGTCCGTCTGGGCGGACGTGTCCAGCGTGCCGGGCGCGATGCAGTGGTCACCCCGGTCTCGCGAGTGAGATGGGAGCGCCGCCCCCGACAGCAGCTGCTCCAAGTACAACTCAAAGTCGTGCGTGTGCGTCTCCGTGTCCACGCCGCTGGCACAGCCAGCGCGCGTCTGGCTCGGATCTCTGTTTGTATTTTCAGGCGCAGTCGCCCTGTCGCAAACAACCGATTCGAGGGTGCTCAACTGATTATGCTTGAGACCCTGGCCGAGCATAGCCATGGCGTGTAAAGTGCTGTACATGGAAGGATCCTTGAGTAGGCCGAGCACCGTTGAGTTATTGTCACCAACAAATATGCCAGCGTTACACGGTGTTGAAATGTCATACGTACCACCACTAAGCTTTGGACACGATGAAATATTTCTGCCATTCGGATCCCACGATGCAACGTTGGGAATTAATTGCTTCTCTGTCAACTTCGTGATTTGTATTTGGTCTTGCTCCGATTCTGTCTGTACCGCAAAGTTGGACGTTGTTCTTTGAGGATTGTGCTGGGTTTGCGTGCAAACGCTATTTGGCGCGGAACCCACGGCGGTGAAGCTAACATCGGTTTGCGCATTTGCACTGACCAAGAAATTCAGCGGATGTGAGTACGTGTTCGTGGCTGAAGAATATGGGTTAGACGCAGCATAGATATCATTAATGCACACCTCGGTCTGAGCTTCGCACGTAATCACTTTCGGTGATGCGTGAGATACGGTGGAGACCGGCTGGAAACGATCCTTGTCACCGAGGTCCAAAACAGCGCCAACTCCCTTGGAGCCCTTGGCGTTGGCGCTGCCGAACGCGCCAGGGACGAGCGCCAGCGTGCTCACGATAGCGCCCGCCTCATCCACGGCGACCACCACCGGTTTGATGGAGCTGCCCTCTCTGTGGCCGAGCAGGGCCGCCGCCCCCCGCTGAGTCACCGATAGCTTCAGCAGCACCGCACTCGGCTTGGGCAGCAGCAACCGTTTGGACGGTGCTCTCAACGGAGCGGACGGCGCTGGCGGCGGTGGCGGCGTGGGCAGCGGGTCGCTCTCGCACTTAGGTTTCGAGGAGGCGACCTTTGGACGCACAGCATGCTGCTCCACGCACCTCCCTCTCGCCCTCGGCGCGACCGCCGCCCGCACCTGATCTGCGGCGATGGACGGGCCTCGCTGAGCGGCGCGCGCAGGAGAGGGGATCGGCGCCGGCGGGCAGGCGTCCGGCGTCTTCGGGGAAGATTTTTCGAACGCCGGCCCGGGCTTCTGCTGAGGCGTTGCCACCGCCATGTCTTGCCCCGTGGGGGTGGAGTCACCGGCGTGAACATCGGGCTGCTGCGTGACCGACACGACCCTCGTGGGGGTTTGCACGCTGGACTGGCTCTCCAGCTTTCGTTTGCGCCCGGGCGGCACTCTTGAAACAAACAAAAAAACACATGTAGATGAATTGTTAAAAGTCAATGGTGGTTTGTCATTACAGTAAAAGTGGTCGTATTAATGCAGACTTGAAGAACCATAAGAGCTGTTATAGATACAAATCTCTGGACTGTGTTCCAGGCTATCTTGATATGATGTTCAAGTAAAAACAAAACGACTTTGAAGTTATGATCAGGCTGTAGTATCCTCGTGCCATAGTGATGGTCGCTGCACGTCTGTACCAAAAGGTATGGAAATTATATTGCAGTGATGGCTTTGCAGAGTTATCATGGAAATAAACGCATCAAATATTCAAATAGTCCATGTTGGGCAGCCTGGGAGAGCTCCAGCATGTAACTACACGATTAAAAGATGTATGTTTCAATTACACCTTCCTTTAAAACAATAACTAAGGTGCTGGCACCAGTGATCTCAGCTCCCTTATGCTGGCACCAGCAATGCCAGCTCTATTAAAATAACTTTATTTCACCAGGCAAGGCCGACTGAGCTATGTAGCTCTTTTTCAGAAGCGACCTGGCCACAAATGATAGCTCAACGAAGTGGTTTATGTGAACATTTATAGCAGCCAAATACTTTAAGCGCATGTTTCTAAATGTGGAGGGAAAACCGGAGGACCCAGAGAGAAATTCACGCGACCGGGGGAAGAACATGCAAACTCCAAATATAGAGGCATCAGGGTCGGAATCGGATCCACGACATCTTGTATACCAGGTGAGGTAGTTAACATCTTGCCACCGCGGCACCCCTCTTTCCCATACTGGCACCAGCAATTCCAATTCCCCACGTCCCTTATGCTAGCACCAGCGATCCCAGCTGCGGCCCTGCGCTTGCACCAGAATTCCCGTCTCCCCACGCTGGCGTGCCTGTGCTCCTCCGGCAACACGTGGCCGGTGCGGTAGGCGTGGGAGAGCAGTGCGGTGCGGCTGACGTAGGGGCAGCCACAGGAGCAGCTGAACACTCGGCCACAGTCGCCCTGGTGCCGCCGCAGGTCGGCGCGCGTGCTGTACCGGCGCTCGCACACCCCGCACTCGTGCGTCCGCTCCGCATGCATCTTCAGGTAGTGCTGCGGGGAGTGAGCGTTGGCAGTGTGGATCACTGATGTTATGTAAAAACTTTGTACCCGTGGCACCACATCACGAGAAGGCGAGTAGAGTCGGTTACATAAAAGGGGTAGACGGGGCAAGATGACGTGGAAAGGGAAGGGATGCCGGGATGGAAGTCCCCAAAGATGGACAGAGTGCACAGCTCAAGATAAGTAGCACTCCAGCGCTGTCCTACCAGACAGTCTCGTCCCTTCACCTGATGAAGGCCGCTTGTGTTGTGGCCGAAACGTCGTGAGAATATTATTGTGTTATTTTATTTTATCAATTTATTATTTTATTCTCATTCTACGTGACTTTACCGAAAGGACAAAAGAAGATGAATCATTGCAGTCACGAAAGCTTTAAATCGAAAAGTAGCAGGAAGATACAGTGAGGGAAAAAAGTATTTGATCCCCTGCTGATTTTGTACGTTTGCCCACTGACAAAGAAATGATCAGTCTATAATTTTAATGGTAGGTTTATTTGAACAGTGAGAGACAGAATAACAACAAAATCCAGAAAAAACGCATGTCAAAAATGTTATAAATTAATTTGCATTTTAATGAGGGAAATAAGTATTTGACCCCTCTGCAAAACATGACTTAATACTTGGTGGCAAAACCCTTGTTGGCAATCACAGAGGTCAGACGTTTTTTGTGGTTGGTCACCAGGTTTGCAGATCTCAAAGTCATTAAGGTTTCGAGGCTGACGTTTGGCAACTCGAACCTTCAGCTCCCTCCACAGATTTTCTATGGGATTAAGGTCTGGAGACTGGCTAGGCCACTCCAGGACCTTAATGTGCTTCTTCTTGAGCCACTCCTTTGTTGCCTTGGCCATTGTCATTGTCATGCTAGAATACCAATCCACGACCCATTTTTAATACCCTGGCTGAGGGAAGGAGGTTCTCACCCAAGATTTGACGGTACATAGCCCCGTCCATCGTCCCTTTGATGCGGTGAAGTTGCCCTGTCCCCTTAGCAGAAAAACACCCCCAAAGCATAATGTTTCCACCTCCATGTTTGACGGTGGGGATGGTGTTCTTGGAGTCATAGGCAGCATTCCTCCTCCTCCAAACACGGCGAGTTGAGTTGATGCCAAAGAGCTCCATTTTGGTCTCATCTGACCACAACACTTTCACCCAGTTGTCCTCTGAATCATTCAGATATTCATTGGCAAACTTCAGACAGGCACTGTTCAAATAAACCTACCATTAAAATTATAGACTGATCATTTCTTTGTCAGTGGGCAAACGTACAAAATCAGCAGGGGATCAAATACTTTTTTCCCTCACCCTATCAGCGCTGGGCAGGAAATGGAGGGGGAGAAGGAATGAAAAGGTGATGACAGCGGAGGGAAGAGAGGCAGATAAAACGAAGGACCGAGCAGAAGTGAGCTGCACGGAGTAGCGTCTGTTTTCGAAGGGGGCGGTATTCAGAGTGAGATGGTTAGGAAACCTAGGGTTCAGGTTTAGGGATTAAGTGTATGGTTAGCAGTTAGGGTTTATGGTTATACTGGTAGGAACGAAGTTGTAAACTGAGTGTACCAGCCTGCAATAGATTAATGTGTCCGTCCGTCCGTGCCCTTTCAATACTTTAACGAAGTGAAATCTCGTGCTGTTGGGTGTAAAATCAGCAATAGACAGCGCAGAGACTTGTCCTACCAGCCCACCCTGCAGGGACCTGTTTGTTGAGAGTTTATGGTTAGTGTTTATGGTTGGCTATAGGTGTTATGGTTTATATTATGGTTAGTTACAATGGTACCCAAGACCTCTCTCCTTACTCAGCATCTGCAGAAACAATAGTCTAAGCTATAGCTTAAATTCTCGCTGAATATATTCTTAGCCACTGGTAGACCGGAGTAGGTGGCACGTGACCAGAAACGACGGTCCACAGAGAGAGGAACACTGGATGTTGTGTGATGGGTGCAGAAATATTGTCCGGTTCGCCAACGCAAACAGCCCCCGCAAACTCCGTTCATCCTCTCAGCATCGGCTTTAGGTAAACCATCGAACAAAGACGGTCACCCCATCGCGCGCTTTCAGATGTGCTTCTGCGGCCGTCTGGAATGCTCTTCCTTCCGATATCGGGAAGCCACCGGAGCTATGCACTTTTAAATCTATACTGAAAACGAATTTCTTGAGAACTGCTTTTTGTGTTTATTTTGTTGTCGTGCCCCCGTACTTTTGATAGCACGGTTGGCCACGTACGGTGCAAAAGAAGTTCAACATACATACGTACAATGAATTCTTGGCCTCGCCCCCTGCCTGAAACGGCGACTCACCTGCCGCACAAGGGAGAACTGTGGGAATGGCCTCCCTGGCCCTCTGGGACAGCCTTGCACAGGGCAGCAGTAGAGCTTGGGTCGGCCATCTGACGAGCGGGACGGTCTGTCGGACGGCTGTGGGCCCTCCTAAACGACGCGGAGTAGTCCCAGGTGAGTATCCCAGGTGAGTATCCCAGGTGAGTATCCCAGGTGAGTAGTCCCAGGTGAGTATCCCAGGTGAGTAGTCCCAGGTGAGTATCCCAGGTGAGTATCCCAGGTGAGTAGTCCCAGGTGAGTATCCCAGGTGAGTATCCCAGGTGAGTATCCCAGGTGAGTAGTCCCAGGTGAGTATCCCAGGTGAGTATCCCAGGTGAGTAGTCCCAGGTGAGTAGTCCCAGGTGAGTATCCCAGGTGAGTATCCCAGGTGAGTATCCCAGGTGAGTATCCCAGGTGAGTATCCCAGGTGAGTATCCCAGGTGAGTAGTCCCAGGTGAGTATCCCAGGTGAGTATCCCAGGTGAGTAGTCCCAGGTGAGTATCCCAGGTGAGTAGTCCCAGGTGAGTAGTCCCAGGTGAGTAGTCCCAGGTGAGTATCCCAGGTGAGTATCCCAGCTCGCGCGAAGCACACAAGAGGGGGTTTTGGTGTCTTGTGGATTGGTAACTACGGGACAGTACACGATTGAGATTGCGCTGGGAAATCATGGCCCGCCCCTCCTGCGACAACGTGGCAGGACACTCCTGCAATGAGGTACATGAGACTCGGTGAGACTTTCCTGGGTAAAACACACCTTAGAAAGGGCTCGTTGCGGAGAATGTACACAACAACGCCGCAACTCCGATTAGTTACGTACGGCGCAAAAGAAGTCCTACACAAGCAGCCGTGTCATCCTCACACATCCGTCTCGGCACACAAAAATAAAGTCATTTTACAATCATTCAGCCAGCACGGCCCTCCTCTGAGAGCGCACAACTTCAGCAGCATTACCGCAAGACGCGCAACCTGTGGACCGGCGTTGACACGCATTCATGCCGTACAGAATATACATTGACATAGTTGTTGGTGTAGGTCTGTAGTGTGTAGATAATGACGGGGAGAGAGAGGTGCGTGTGTGTTGATAACGCTTGCGCTGTAGGGATCTGTTGTACATCATTGCTGGCGGCAGGAATGGATCTGTCGTGTGCAGGTAATATGTCACTGCTCTAGTCTACACTGTTCTGAGGACGGTGCAGTGTCATTCTGCGGCTAAGGTGTGTCCCGTGTGGATCTTATATTCGTGGCATCTGTGTACTGTGCGGTTATGCTGGTGTCACGTGTAATAAAGTGGGTGATGTGTCCCATGCGGTGTGGTCTTGTGTGGTGTGGTTTAACCCCATGTGGTGTGCTGTATGCAGTGTGGTCGTACCCCGTATGTGGTGTGGTCTGATCGGTATGTGGTGTGGTCTGATCGGTATGTGGTGTGGTCTGATCGGTATGGTGTGGCCCGTGTGGGGTGGTGTGCCCCGTGTGGGGTGGTGTGGCGTGCCTCTTGCTGTGTGCCCTGCCTTGGTGTGGCTCCACGTTGTGATGGTGTGCGACCCTCACCCTCACGCCGTGCGCCTTGTCCAGGTGCATGCGAAGCGCGGGTTCGTTGGGCAGAGCGCGACCGCATCGCGGCACGGGGCACGCGATGTTGGTGCGGACCGCGCGGCCCAGCTCCTGGGCCGAGGGCACGACCAGCACCGTGACCTCCCTCGCGGCCTCACCAGGCACCGGGCCCGTTGCGGCCGTCATGCCAGCGGCCTCAAGCACACACCCGATCCTATGTGGGCCCCCACACACCCGATCCTATGTGGGCCCCCACACACCCGATCCTATGTGGGCCCCCACACCCGATCCTATGTGGGTCCCCACACCCGATCCTATGTGGGCCCCCACACACCCGATCCTATGTGGGCACACACACACCCGATCCTATGTGGGCCCCCACACACCCGATCCTATGTGGGCACACACACCCCCGATCCTATGTGGGCACACACACACCCGATCCTATGTGGGCACACACACCCGATCCTATGTGGGCCCCCCCACACCCGATCCTATGTGGGCCCCCACACACCCGATCCTATGTGGGATCGTCGCCAGCCTTTGCGCCGTGGACCAAGCCCGCGCGCAAGTTTCTCAATCAGCCGAGGTCGATTTGCCAAAACCGTGCAATATACACCACCGTAATCAACCTGTACACGAGATCGACACAATCAATTCCTGCCACCCGAACACGAGACGCCAATTCCCGTAACGGTGGCAACCCCAGCCCAGACCAGGTCCCGTGGTGCCCCGACTCGGCCTAGTTGCCCGGCCAGGCTTAGCCCGCCCGAGTCGACAAGGCCGAGGGCTTGGTGCCGACTCGCGGTGCTAACCTCGGACGATTTTAAACCCGGGGCCGAACCGAACCGGCCGACGTTCCGACCCCGAAGGCTGATTGCGGGCCCACTGGTGTCCGTGTCGCGGTGTGTCTCGCTCCCTGACGTGTCTGTCTGTCTGTGTGTGCGTGAGTGCGTCTATCTCAGTGAAGTGTCTGTCGATTTCTCTATAAATGTCTGTAGGTTGTATCGCTCTCTCTCTCTGTATGTTGTATCTCTGGCATGCAGTCTCCTATGAGTTGTCTCTTGGTGTCTAACTGTAGGTTGTCTCTCTCTGTATGTTGTATCTCTGGCATGCAGTCTCCTATGAGTTGCCTCTTGGTGTCTAACTCATTGTGTCGATGTACAACGCCGGGTTGTCCGCACCGCCGTTGCTGTGCTACGCGCGTGAGGGCGCGAGGTGGCGTCACCCCCCCCCCACACACTCACAGCAAAGACAAAGATCCCCCGTGTAGCCTACACACACTGTTGGGGCAAGTGCTGTTCGCGAGTTGCTCGCCTCTTTAAGGACTGTACTGCGGCTCTTAAAATATTGAGGATTACCATGGGAGTCCAGTTTACCGTGGGAGTCCAGTTTACCGTGGGAGTCCAGTTTACAACAGGGGTCCAGTTTACCATGGGAGTCCAGTTTGCCATGGGAGTCCAGTTTACCATGGAAGTCCAGTTTACCGTGGGAGTCCAGTTTACAACAGGGGTCCAGTTTACCATGGAAGTCCAGTTTACCGTGGAAGTCCAGTTTACCATGGGAGTCCAGTTTGCCATGGAAGTCCAGTTTACCATGGGAGTCCAGTTTACCATGGAAGTCCAGTTTACCATGGGAGTCCAGTTTACCATGGAAGTCCAGTTTACCGTGGGAGTCCAGTTTACAACAGGGGTCCAGTTTACCGTGGAAGTACAGTTTTCCGTGGGAGTCCAGTTTGCCATGGAAGTCCAGTTTGCAACGGGAGCCCAGTTCACAGTGGAAGTCTATTTTACCATGGGAGTCCAGTTTACCATGGGAGTCCAATTTAGCATGGTCAGGAGCCGGCAACCTGCCGCTCCAGAGCATCATGCGGCTCTTTATGGACTGATTTGTGACGTCATTTATGAAGGACCGACTCGTGTTGACCCACAGTGCATTGCGGCACTTAAAATGTTGAGGTTTTTTTTTTATAAACCGAATTCTAAAAAGATGGCACTTCTTGTTATTTTGGTTACTGACCCCCTAAACTAGACGAGCACCAGAACTGGTTCAGATATTGGCCACCGTCATTGTTCGTGAGCCGGAAATCCAACTCGGATCGCCGGGTTCAGAGATAAGTTGTCACTCAAGAGTCACAACAGGAATGAGGCAGCGTTGGTGACTTCGTGTTGTGTACGTTGAACTTCATTCCCACCGTACGTAGCCAACCGCGCTGATGGGAGGTCCGGGGAAGGACAACAAACTCAACACAAAAATCAGTTCTAAAGAAATGAGGTTTGAATCTACATTTAACAGTGTATAGCTGCATTGGCTTCCTGATAGTCTATAGTTTTGCGTCTAACTGGAACCCACATCTAAGAGAGCGGGCCTTTTCGCCTATAGGTCCACACTGTCTGAACCTGTCCACAGTCTGTATTAAACCAGGGTTCGTCAACCAAAATAACAAGAAGAGCCGCAATGCATTTGGTGAATACGATTCGGTCCTTAATAAATGTCACGGAAGCAGTCCGTAAAGGCTCCAGAACCACGGTTTGCCAACCCCAGCATTAAACCGATGGAAGGCCGTGCGGCTGATGGGATGCATAATAATTTTTGTATTCGTTTTACGCGGAGACACAACATACGGGACGTTTATAGTGTACTTGTTAGTTTCCCAAGTGTCGCAGATTAGTTCACACGCACACGTCAGCTTTGTGTTTAACATCATGTCCTAGATTCTCAGGGGTGGGCACATTTTTTGACTCGCGGGCCACAATGGATTCTAAAATTTTGACAGAGGGGCTGGGCCAGGAACAGATGGATGGAGTGTTTGTGTGAACTAATATAAATGACGTGTTAAAAATCATTACATGAAAGGATTTGGCCTTTAACAGGTAGCAAAGCATTTATTTGCAAGGCAATTTAACAAATTGCACGAATATGAACAATACAAAAACATGTCGTAACTCCCGATCAAAGTGCGCCATCTAATGGGGAAATGTGGGCATTACAGGAGAAGGGGAAATTTTAATTTAATATTTGGACAAGTTCGGCGGGCTGGATTAAAAAGCCCAACGGGCATTATACGGCCCGGGGGAAACAATCCTATCTGCTATAAAAAAATGTTTTTAACATGCATTGAACGTATGTATCATATCGTGGTAACCCTAAAATGAAATCGCTAAAGCTACGTAGCATACATGCATTCAACGTATCGTAACGTATCATATTCTACTGTACCCACCAAGATTCTGTCCATCGTCTGCATACTTGAACGATGTTAGGATGATGGCTACACTAACTTAGTTGTCGGAAGAGGATGGCGATGATAAAGTTACAGTATCGTACCTCGTACGCTGCTGCGTTTGCCCGCCGCGCGAAATTAAAAAATATTTTACAATTTTGTCATATCGCAATCGTAAATCGAAATATCGTAAGTCGGACCATCGTAAGTCGGGGACTATCTGTATATATATTTTTTTATCTGATATGTTGTATATCCTAATTATGTTATCAAAGAAAAGGAAGGTCGATAAGGAGGGTAGAGTCGTCCATGAAAAGTGGAGGAATTCATCATTTCTTTCCGGAGGTCAATGGAAAGCCAACAACGCAAATAAAGGTAGCAAACAGCCTCGTCCACTTGTTTCCGAACGTCGATGCCAGTGGTCCAAGAACCGTGAGGCATCAGGAAGCCAGACAGCCGTAGCACTGAGTGAGAAGCTGTACTGCACAGATCATTGTTTCTAGATTTGAAGCTTTCGTGACTGCAAGGATTCATCTTCTTTGGTTCTTTCGGTAAAGTCGCGTAGGTAAAAAAAAAGCGTGAAAAATAAAATAAAAATTTAATTGTGAATTTAAACCGCAATTTAGTTGTTTTCATTTATTTTATTTTTTACCTACGTGACTTTACCGAAAAAAACGAAGAGTACAAATCATTGTACTCATTCGTGTGTTTTGACATGACGTGAATTTACCTACCGTTTTTTTTTAGATACAGCCGATGTTCGGTCAATTGAGACCGTGTTATTGTGCTTTTCATAAGCCCGATTGTGTGGCCCGCGGGAGGTGCATTTGAATCCAAACCGGTCCGCTGTCCAATAAAGTTTGACACCCCTGATTTAAACCATCGTTTTAATCAAATCGTCTGTGTCAATGTCCCTGTTACAGATACATGCGCGTGTCGTGCAAGGCCTTCATAGGTGCTCGCTAACAGCACTTTCCCCCCTCAACAGTCTGGTAAAGGCAATGACGGGGTGATTTCTAGGAGACAATAACGCAAGGCCGTAATTATAATATATATGGGGGGGGGGGGACATAGCCCCGCATATCCCCCCCCCCCCCCCAATATTCAAATATGCTAAAAATGTCCCCCCCAATATATTGATATATTTTTTTTTGTTATGCTACGACAGTCAACCACGCACCACCGTCCAAAATGATCATTAGCAAATGTAATCAATCATAACTAAACTTAACAAATTGCCATTATTATTAATACCGGTTCAAGTATAACGGTGTACTGCAGTTCTGCGTGTGGTTTGTCCAAGTGGTGTTGCCGTACCCCAGCAGAAGCCGTTGCTCGGCTGCCGTGGGTAAGGACAATCAATGTCACACATCATTGGACCTCCTTTGCCAGTACCAAAATATAATAGGGGTTTTCCCCCTTTTTCTGGCAACAAAACTGAAACCTTTTTTTTACAAGGATTCATGTCTGCATTAACCACAATGCTTGCAGTCAAAATGCAAAAAGGTTTCAGTTTTGTTGCCAGAAAAAAGGGGGAAAACCCTATTATATTTTGGTACTGGCAAAGGAGGTCCAATGATATAGATTCTTACCCCGAGCCCTCATTACTTTGATAGTGCATTGTCTTTGAGCTGTACGGCTTTTGGCGTCAACTGGTCTAGCACCAATTGAGACAAGGCTCAAAAGAAAGCCGTCTCTGGTGTGGACCAATCAGTTTCAAGGACAATGCATATATTATCAGAGTATGTATTTTGTTTGCATTTTGACTGCAAGTATTGTGGTTAATGCAGACATGAATCCTTGTAAAAAAAAGTTTCGGTTTTGTTGCCAAAAAAAAGGGGAAAAACCCTATTATTACACACTGTCCTGTCTCTCCATTGAATTACTATACTTTCAAATGTATAAAAAGTAGAAAACTAGAATGTAATAAGAGTATTACGTAGGTTATCTCACTATCGAGCAGAAACAAACGTTTTTGTTGAAAATGGGTCGATTTGCGATTGCTAATCAATCAACCATTTGGAAAGTTACTTGGAAAGTTAATGAGCCACACATTCACCCAGCGACCAACAATGGCGCTCACGGGTATATTTAACTAACGTGAATGTATATTCATGGTTCTTTCGGTAAAGTCACATAGAAGGGAAACAATAAAATAATAAAAAATATAAAACAATTAAATTCTCACGACGTTTCGACTGGAACACAAGCAGTGGTTTGGCACACCTGATGATGATTGCTTGTGTTGCAGTCGAAACGTCGTGATAATTTTATTGTTTTATATATATTTATTATTTTATTGTTTCCCTTCTACGTGACTTTACCGAAAGAAGCAAGAATATGCATCTCTGCAGTCACGAAAGCTTTAAATACAAATTTAACGTGAATGTTTTTATTAAGGTTATATTTAACTAACGTTAATGTTTTTATTAAGTTACATTTGTCAGAAAGCCCACGTGAAGTCTGAGTACAGTGACAATCATTTATGTGGCAGCTGCATTTGTCATTTGTAGCAGCTTTCATTTATTGCATATTCATATGGTATAGTGTATAGCTGTACTTGCTTATGATAAATAGCATTATTAGTGTTTATTTTATCAAAGTACAAGCAGTTTTATTACAGTCAGCTTTGATTCACAGTGAGTGTCATCATGAGCAAGAGGAAGGGTGGCAGATTTTTTTTCTGGTGGGGGGACCCCCAGACGCCCTGGAAGATTTGGTCCCCCCAATGTTGACTCCATGGCTACAGCCATGCAATAATGCCTGTGCTGTCCAGGAGAGCCTTCACGTTGTCTCTTCACCAACCACGAAGCGGCGAGGCCGAAGGGAGCAACGCCTGCCTCCGGCTCTGCAGCAGCCGAAATCTTCAACAGCGTGGGGTACGAACGTGGACGTCAAGAAACACATTCTCCTGCGGAGGGAGCTGGTAGGAACGTTGGGTTGCTCGGTCAATGGCCAGGGTCAACGGCGGCACCACGTGGTGTATTCCGCAAATATGCCCGACTGTGAGGGCGGGCACAAGCCGGCGTGAGTAGGTTACACGTTGAGTTTTATAAGGGCACCACGGGGTGACCAGCCCCTCCCCACCCAGCCCCACCCCTCCCTCCCCACCCAGCCCCACCCTCCCCTCCCCACCCAGCCCCACCCTCCCCTCTCCACCCAGCCCCACCCCTCCCATTTTTGGATGCACGACAGACGGACGGACACAATAATCCCCTGTGGGCTGGTGTAACCAGGAGGTTCCTACCAGTAATATCTTACAAATTCCACTCAGTTCGCGTTGAAGCAACGCTCGAAAATAAATATGCCACTGTCGGGCTCACGCAAGCACGCGTATTGTTTGCTCCCAGACTTTGGGTGGCATATTACACTGCACGGACGTGGGAATATTGCCACGGATTTCATCCAGCAGCAGATAGACCTCGAGCACCGCGATTGAATGACCGAATACGATGCCGAGGGTCGCTCGCGACTTTTAAAGCGGGCGCGTGGCAGTGACGTTTTGGGCCATACCACTACGCGACGGGAACTTGGGGGGTGGAGAGCGGGGGGCATAGTTTTTGCAGGGCCATTGCAATGCGCGTAAAGGGATGCAGTTCTACCTCCCCCCAACCCCCCTCCCCGGGTATGAGTGAGTTGGTATGCGCGTTGTGTTTGTGCAGCCATTGTTGCTGGTGCTGTTGATGTTGTGAGAGGGGAGAAGCCTGGACCACCCTGAGAGGAGCCGCGGCACGACGGGACGAGACGGCGCGGCGCAACGATGCTACCCGCGGGGGTGCGGGTAAGTCGCTGTCACCGTCTAGGTGGTGGGGGAGGGGGTAGCAATAATGCTGCTCATAGTCTCTTGTCGATACAGTATAACCGTGGTCCTGAGAAAGCGAGGGGAGGCACGGCCACAGTTCTAGCAGAAAAGTCAGGGGGTTGTTTCCCTGCCCTGTGGTTTAAATGCACCAGAGGACGTCTCTGGTGTGGGCCAACGCGCTCTTCCCTCCGCCATATCCCCGCCGCTGCCGCTGCTGCTGCTGTCGACGATACACAGCTACCGGCGCGGTCAGTCCTGACAGCCTCCCACCAGATCAGCCCTGAGATCTTGAGATCTTGGTCTCCCCCGCCACCGTCCTCTACACACGTCCCATTGAGCGCGACCGTTTTCCCCTCATCGCTAAAATTGCCATGTTCTGTTGCGAAGCTTCAGCATTGATTTGCTCCCTGCCTCGCCTCGACAGTTCTAGAGTCCGTCTCCACAGCAGCTAGAGGCCGTCTCAGACAGTTCTAGAGGCCGTCTCGACAGTTCTAGAGGTCGTCTGGACAGTTCTAGAGTCCGTCTGGGCAGTTCTAGAGTCCGTCTGGACAGTTCTAGAGTCCGTCTGGACAGTTCTAGAGGTCGTCTCGACAGTTCTAGAGGCCGTCTCAGACAGTTCTAGAGGCCGTCTCAGACAGTTCTAGAGGCCGTCTCGACAGTTCTAGAGGCCGTCTCGACAGTTCTAGAGGCCGTCTCAGACAGTTCTAGAGGTCGTCTCGACAGTTCTAGAGTCCGTCTGGACAGTTCTAGAGTCCGTCTGGACAGTTCTAGAGTCCGTCTGGACAGTTCTAGAGTCCGCCTGGACAGTTCTAGAGTCCGCCTCCGACACTTGTTCGTTTTGAGACGCCGAGAACATCGCCGGTACAGTCACTCCCCAATGAGCCGGCGTTGACGCAAGCACCGAGGCACCGCCGCTTGCCATCTTCGCCTGGCGCCCACTGCGCTCTTAAACGCTGACCCATCATCATCACCTCGGGTAGAGCAGGAGTCAATGGCCACGCTACATGGGGACTGGAAAGAAAGCCCTGAGTCGGTAGTCCACGTGGATGTGACCGGTCTATCTGGATGCCAGATAGACCCGTGGCGATGTGAAAGCTTCGTATCAGACAATTGTGTTGAAGTAGATTTTGTTTACTGCCGTATGTATGTACTGTATGTCGAACTTCTTTCGCACCGTACGTAGCCAATCGTGCTAATCGGAGGTGCTGCCATCGCATTAATTTCAGGCCAGAATGCAGGATGTGATTTGACAGGGGGTTCCGGCGTTCCTTGGCTCTGGCGTTTTAAGACACTTGCCTTTGTGTGCATGCCTGGTATATATTAATAAGCAACTGCGTTAAAATGAGCATGATATCGTCCCCAGGTGTGCGTGTTGCGTGGCCACCGTGCCGCCCGTCTCCGCCTGTACTCTGGCACTCACGCAACCACCACCGCCACGCGCGTGAACAGGCACCTGCTGACAGCTCGGGCCGGCAGGTGAGCAAAGGAACGAACCCCGTTGTTCATGTCCTTGTTGACAGACGGCGAGAGGTGGTGGGGAAATTGACACTTTTTAAAGCTCTCGCCGACTTGAATTATTCACGGTTGGACATCAGCATGAACTACATTTTGACTTTTGAAACCGTCTTGAGTAAGTGAGAGGAGTTCACGAGCTTCATGAGAGGTGCACCGTGAGACTGGTTGTTAATGCACGTGAACGAGAATCCCCTCGTCACCGCTGTGCATGTGTTCAGTCCGTAAAATCTGGATTTGAGAGGTAAAGCTTTAATGTGTAGGATTGCCATATTACGTGGGGTGTTCCTTGCTTACATTTGTAATATCGTATAAATACATACTTTAGTTAATATATTAAACGTGTTTTTTTATCCGCACTATTTGCATAATTGCTATGCACGTGCCAATCCACACCCAGGACACCCTTGCAATGGAGAGTCGTTCCATCCCCGAGGGTGAAATGTGTTAATTTTGTAAGAAAATACACGCAATGTAATGTCACAGCTGCGTATGAATGTGTGCTTCTGAAGCGTTCTGAAGGAGCGTTCTCTGATGAGGAAGCTTGCGCTGGGCTCGCTGGTGGGGCTGCCCTTGCTTGGAGGCACGTGCTACGCCCTGTTAGACGCACAGACCAAACGCAAGACGAGAATACTCGTCCAAGGAATCCAGCGCTTCTGCAGGTTAGCCACGAGCCGTCACTTGCTCAATGAATGCGATCTAAAATCATGGTTGAGGGTTGCCAAGAAGTATCTGAAATTTTTGTTTAAACGTCGCACACGTTCGGTTTTTTTTTTTTGCAACGTTGTCGAAGCCTTTTGTGAGAAAAGGTGCATTGCTCAGCCGTAGAGAGTGGGCGGCTCGCAATCGGAAAGTTGCGCGTTCATAATGCCTCGTTGGGGGTTGACTTGGCCCATCATCCATCCGCAGTCAGTAAAATTGGTACCACTTTGTATGTACGTGTAGTGGTGTTTATTCACGCGAACAACTTCTCCTTTTTCTCCTGTGTCACCTTATTCGAAGCATCCCACACGGATGCTCCTCAGGTTCCACACAACGTACTCTCTCGAACTCTCCCTCTCTTGCTCCGCTAGCCTGCTACTCCGAGCTCACTCTCTCTTGCTCCGCTTGCCTGTTACTCCACACTCTGCTCGCCTGTCACGGACGCTCTCTCTCTGTCTGGTTCCGCTAGCCTGTTCTCCGCTAGCCTTTTACTGTATGCTACGCTAGCTTCTCACCCCGCTAACCTCTCACTGAATCTCCTGCTAGCTATTCTCCGCTAGACTAACACACCACACTTAAGGATTCCGCTAGCCTCTCCCCCGCTAGCCTGTTACTACACCCACACCTCCAACCTCGCCCGTGCCCCCAGCGTGGGTTCAGCCAACACCCCTGGGGAGGACGAGGTGTGGAGAGCGAAGTCCTGGACTTCTCTTGTATTGACTTCTTCACTTCTTCATCTCCAACCAACTCAACCCGTTGCTTCACACATTCCTCTTATACCCCCCTCCTCATTAAGTGTCCTCAGGTGGCCCTCGTTAAGCCGGCGTCCTTCCGGCGTCTCTTGCACGTGCTCCCCACCCCCCCTCATCGTCTCTATCTCTCGCCTTCTTGGCGCCTACTCCGTGTTTACATTTGCAGCCAGCCGATCACTGTCTCTTTCTCTAATTGCTGGCGTCTCTCTGTCTGCTGTCTCCCAGGCCACACGCTTGCACCAGCTCGTACATGAATGCAACTGTTGGCAAACCCTGCGCGCGTTACGCCACTACATATGTCTATTGAATATCCATCCCATCGTACATAGCTATCTGTGCGAATCGGAGAAGGGGAAAGGACAACAACATAAACACAAAAAGCATTTATAAAAAAATGAGTTTTCAATCTAGATTTCACACTGTGGTTGTCCTATGGAGATAATCAGCTCTGCCATATGAATGTGACATTTCCACCACTGGCTCAGAGCTGTAAACAGGAGAGAGAGCACTGCCTCATTGCTCGTTTGAGCAACAAATCACTGTCGATTATTTTGACCTTGCCAGCAAACTTCTATTTTTAACTCGGTACATCCTTAAACATGAGCATGTGTAATAATAAAAAATAAAACATCAATTGCCTGAGTTATTTTTTTGCTAAATGTACCGGATTAAATTTCCATTGTTTCATGGGACTTCCTTGATGCAACTTCGTGAAACAGTGCGAAGTTCTTGATGTGTCTCTTCCCTTTCTAGGTCTGTGCATGTGGGAATGCGCATATCCGGCGATTACTGGTGGACCATGAACATTGGTCTCAGAGGACTAGAGGAGGTAAATTTATGGACAATCAAAGTGCATTATGACATGGTAGGATGTGATCTCATAATGTGCACTAACCTCGACATTCAAACTCAGATTTTCACACTCAATCCTGCCGTACGCCAGAATAAACACTTGCACACATGGCCATGTGGCGTTGGAGATTTTGCGATTTGCAATCTTATACAATGTGGTTTATATAGTGACTACATGTGACCACATTTCAAGATGCTGGATATGAACAGTGGTCATATTTATAATTACAGTATTGATATGTTTAGTTTTAACATTTATCAATGAAGGGCTTGTTTTTAAAAGTATACGTTGAATAGTTAAGACCAACATGTGCAAAAAACACACACGTCTCTTGTGTTAAGAGCAGTGCAGAATACAAGCAGGGGTTGTCGGATTGCCACCAGCGGGCAGCCGACAGCATCGTGAACGCGGCCATACACAACGGAGGTGTTTACATTAAGCTGGGCCAGGGCCTGTGTGCCTTCAACCACCTGCTACCTCCCGAGTACACAAAGACGCTGCGTGTGTTGGAGGACCAAGCGCTCGACTGCAGATACGATGAGGTGACAAGCGGAAGGGAACACTGCGCTGCACGCAGCATGCAACTGACTGCGATCACCGTTGTCCTGCGTGTTGCCTATGTACACACCACTGCACGTTATATGTGAACCTAAGCTCAACAAAACTTTTTTTATATGTATATTACTAGTCAAGGTTCACTGAGCGATGTAGCTCTTTTTCAGAAGTGACCTGGCCGCAAATTATAGCTCAACGAAGGGACTTATTGCGTGGAAATTGATTGCAGCCAAATACGTTAAACGCTTGTTTCTAAATGTGGAGGGAAAAACTGGAGGACTCGGAGAAAAATCCACGCGACCACAGGGAGAACATTCCCACTCCAAATATGCAGGCATCAGGGCCAGGATCGAACCCCCGACCTTCTGCATACCAGGCGAGGGAGTAAACATCTTGCCAGCATGGCAGTGGTGGCTATGCTGGACGTGGCTTGCAATCCAGCACTGTGGAGGCAGCGAGTGTTGGTGGATGACAGTGTTGTGAAACTCCCTTACCGTGGGCGTCGATGAGGTGTCATTACCCTGGCTCGCCAGGAGAAGGCAGTACAGTAAGAGAAATAATCACCATCTGTTTCCATCAGTACGGGAATAGTGTTGCCTTCTTGCGTGCATAGGTTTTCTCTCACACGTGTAAACACTCATCACTAATTGGCTGCAAACATCTTAAAATAAAAACCCTGTTTAACAGGACTCTTCTGAAAAAGAGTCCGACCACTCACTAGGTGTGATTCTCCCTGAATAAATTAGTATACAAATAAATATTGTAAGAATTTTTTACACCTGCCATAGTTAATCGAAGTCAGATGCAATTCTGTCCTGCAGGTTTTGCTGTGCATGTGAATTGGGTGGGGGGGAGGGGTGACATTATTAATCACTGAGTGATTGAGACACCTCCAGTTGCTGTTCACGTTCTAAGGATGACGCCACGTTCCTCGGGGCCCGCAGCGATGGTCCTGCATCGAAGGAACAAAACCCCTTAATCCAAGTTGACATTTTTCGAACTTTATTTTGCTACTCAAGCCAACTTTTGTTTCAGGAATTTTTGTTGTTGAATTTTGATTTATTTTCACAGTTTTTTTTATGCCTTCTAGAATGTGTTTTTTTTTGCTCTGATTTCTATTTGCTTCTTAGATATGCTTTTTTTACGTTTTATTCAATTAAAGTGTGGTAATCCGGGTCACTCTTGCAACAAAACAAGCGCAACGCTTCATGCCGAGTAGGACCACGCTTGAGTTGGCACGCGCGGAGGAACGACGCCGTACCGAATGCGACGCGGGGGGTCGGACATGCCAGCCTCGTTCGGTGACGTTGCCAAACAAAACAAGAGACCGTTTTCGTTGTTGTTGTTATTGCCGCCTACGCTGTATGCAGGTGGACGCTCTGTTCCAGGAGGATTTTGGCACAACGCCCTTGCAGCTGTTCTCCGAGTTCGACTACGAGCCGGTGGCGGCTGCCAGCCTTGCTCAGGTGCACAAAGCACGGCTGCATGACGGAACGCCCGTCGCCATCAAGGTTCGTGGCGGGACGCTCGCTGACAACCACACTGCGTTCAACCACAATACTGCTCGCTCCCTCTCTCCGATTCTTCCCTCGCACAGCTTCACTTTGGAACTCCCTCCCCCCGTCGCCTCTTTTTTTTTTTTTCGCGGAACTCTGGTAACCTCGTTCACTTCGACAAATGCGCTAACTCTCACCGATAGCATCTGCGATGGTGCTGTTCGTTGCTGCTCGCCTAATATTTTTGGGGCCATGTGCCCGGCAACTGTTAAAAGTGCAAAAGTTGTGGGATGCACTCGTGACGGATGGTTTGTTATATTGCGTCGCAAGTATTACATTTGCAGAAAAGAGGGATGTCATACTATACTCTTAATGATGGAAACGGAATACGTGTGTGTCTTGTGTGCTGTGGGCTCCCGTTGAGTCCTAGTTTGACTCTCTTGTCTGGCCTAGGTGCAGTACATAGACCTGCGTGACCGCTTTGACGGAGACATTCGCACGCTGGAGATACTTCTCGACCTCGTGGCGCTCATGCACCCCACCTTTGGTTTTCGCTGGGTACTCAAGGTAGTGTTTACGCACCCAACGGGTACACTTGGAAATGGGCAGCAATGTATCGCATCGCTCGGCGGCATTTCCATTCAAGATCTCGTCATGGCCAAAGCCGTTGTTGCCACCGCCCCTCACTTGCAATGCGTGCCACCCTCTGGCAGATCCTACAGCTGCTGCACAGCAGAGACACGCAGCGACCTCACAACATCTGGCCTGACAGTCTCCTCCTACCTTCTGCCCTTAGATAGACTCGCACAGAGAACCACAGACTCGCACAGAGAACCACAGACTCGCGCAGAGAACCACAGACTCGCGCAGAGAACCACAGACTCGCACAGAGAGCCACAGACTCGCACAGAGAGCCACATACTCGCGCAGAGAACCACAGACTCGCGCAGAGAACCACAGACTCGCGCAGAGAACCACAGACTCGCGCAGAGAACCACAGACTCGCGCAGAGAACCACAGACTCGCACAGAGAACCACAGACTCGCACAGAGAACCACAGACTCGCGCAGAGAACCACAGACTCGCACAGAGAACCACAGACTCGCACAGAGAACCACAGACTCGCGCAGAGAACCACAGACTCGCGCAGAGAACCACAGACTCGCGCAGAGAACCACAGACTCGCACAGAGAGCCACATACTCACATAGAGAGCCATAGACCCACACAGAGATACCCATAGATCTGCCCTGACAGTATCCCGCCTCCTACTGTGCCTTGGTTGTCCCCGTGGTAGCTGGACCCGTGAAGAACACTCCAATGCCCGTCTCTGCAATGATGGGGGGTATCCCGAGTCTCCTCCTATCCTGCGCCAGCTTCTTGTACGCACACCTTGTGACCTGTTAGCGGCGGGATTTCCTCGCGCGCTCGTTTGTGTTTGCCCACTGAATGAGAACGATGGCTGCGAGATCAAATCGTTGCTGACAATACTCATTGCGTTGTCACGGAGCCTGAGGGCGTACGCTGGATGAGTACGGATGCACGGTCGTTTCCGTTCAGGACCTCAAAAGCACGCTCGCGCAGGAGCTGGACTTTGAGAACGAGGGACGGAACTCGGAGCGCTGTGCCCGCGAGCTGGCGCACCTGGAGTACGTCACAGTGCCCAAGGTCTACTGGAACTTCACCAGCAAGGTGAAGGCGCGCTCTCTGCACATTCCTTCTCTCTTCCTCGCCTTCTCCAGTGCGGCAGGGTTGTATCTGTGCACACAACAAATCACCCAATCACTGATTTCCGCGTAACGAGTAGCAGTTGCTTAGCTAGGAGGGGTGTGTGTGTGTACGATCGTGTCGTGGCCTTCATAGGTGCTTGCCGCAAGTCTGTTGAGGCTAAAACGGGGGATCTTTGTCTTGGTAGTGATTAGCGCGCTGCACTACAAACCTGGCGGGCTGAGTTCGATTCCACCTCACGGCCAACACCCGTGATGATTATCTCAACGGGTCCTGGGCCTCCCCTAGGTCGACTGAGCCTGAAATGATTACCTGGTGCGGTGCGGAAACATCGCAGCTGTGGAAACAAAGGCAGCCGGGCGTGATGTTGGCCACCCACCCCCTCGTATGCCGTGCCGGCTTTCATAGGTGGTCGCTAACAGAACTTGCCCCAACAGTCCCGTAAGGCTATATGGGGGATCTTTATCTTTGTACCTTTGTTAGTGTAGCGGTTAGCGCACTGCGCTATAAATCCGGCGACTTGAGTTTGATTCCCGCTCACGGCCAACACCTGTGACAATTATCTGAACCGGTCCTGGACCTTCCCTAGTTCGACTCAGCCTTAAATGGGTACCTGGTGTGGTGTGTAAACATTGCCGCTGGGGAGACAAAGGCGGTCGGGCGTGGTGCTGACCACCCACCCCCTTGTGTGCCGTGCTGGCCTTCACAGGTGCTACTTGCTAAACAGCACTTGCCCCAACAGTCTGTTGAGACTCCACTGTGTGTCTTTGTCTTTGTGAAACAGCGCGTCCTGACAGCCGACTTCTGCTTGGGCTGCAAAGTTAATGACGTGGATTCCATCCAGCGGCAAGGCCTCAGCTTACAAGATGTGAGTGGCGGTGATCTGCCGGGGGGACTTGACGGTCAGGGTTTACTGCGGTCTCGCCGTCCTGTCCCGTCCCCGCCCCTCCTATCTGTCGCGCTCAGCTGGTTTGCGCCGTTACTCCGCTCCATGCCGTTCTCCGCAGGTGGTGCAGCACGCATCACGTCGTGTTTTCACCATTCCGTTTGGGTCATGGTGTAAGACCGAAGCACCGTCGTGGACCGGTTTTTGTGAGGGCGTTTTACATCTTGCAGTGGCGAGATGTTAACTTCCTTGCCTGGTGTACAGGAGGTCGTGGGTTCGATCCCGACCCTGATACCTGTATATTTGGAGTTTTACATGTCTCTTTCCCCTGTGGTCCTTGGATTTTGCTCTGGTTGCTCCGGTTTTTCCCTAGTTTATTTTTTTATCTTTGAATGTATTGCATCCCAAATAGGGAGCATGTCTACCCGGGCATTTGTCGATGTTGTGTAAAAAAAAATCATTGCAGATGTTAATATTTAATCAGGAGATAAGATAAACCCATGGAGACAAGTGCTGCAACGTTGAGTCCTTCGTGAGGATAACCTGGGGCTTGTCCTGACAATTTAAGTAGCCATGTATGGATGTATGTTGAACTTCTTTTTCACCGTGCATAGCCAACCATGCTTATCGGAGGTGCTGGTGGAAGGACAGCAAACTGCACACAAACAGCACTTTTACAGAAATTAGTTTTAAATCTCGATTTATGCAATATTTTCAATGCACGTAAACATTTGCAAACCTAGTCCAGTAATGAACCCAACATGTAAATAAAGCCTAAGATAAGTAAGACGTTGAATTTCACCTAAATGAAATAAATGTGCGAGAAGGATGGTGACAAGACTAGGCAAGTAGAGGCATTGGAGAAACATTGACATTAGCATGGTTGGCTATGTAGGGTGTAAAAAAGTTAAACATGCATGCATACATACAATACATTGCAAAACGAGGAAAATATGCAAATCAAAGCGATTAACCCAAATATACGCTCACGGATGTCTCCCTGCATTCCACGAAGTCTCTCATTGGTGTCGGTGTGAATGTTCGTCCCGTCGTGTGGCTCGCTTTTTCCCCAGGTGGCAGGAAAGCTGATCGCAGTGTTCGCAGAACAGATCTTTTCCACTGGCTTCATCCATGCCGACCCACACCCGGGCAACGGTGAGAATGGCAGCGCATGGGAAATCGCGTCCACCACAGTTTGGGGTTAAATTTCGATTTAAAGCTTTCGTGACTGCAAGGATTCATCTTCTTTGGTTCTTTCGGTAAAGTCACGTAGAATGAGAATAAAATAATAAATTGATAAAATAAAATAACACAATAATATTCTCACGACATTTCGGCCACAACACAAGCGGCCTTGTGTTGATGAAGGCCGCTTGTGTTGTGGCCGAAACGTCATGAGAATAATATTGTGTTATTTTCTTTTATCAATTTATTATTTTATTCTCATTCTACGTGACTTTACCGAAAGAACCAAAGAAGTTTGGGGTTAATTCACGACAACCAAGTCAACTTAAGGGTCTCGGGGGACTTGCTCAAGCCAGTCGAATCGCCATGTGCCCTCTTGTAATGGGAAACTGGCTCCCTTGTTTTTCCTGTCGGACGGCACGTGAATCCTGGCGCGATTCTTCGGCCGGTCAATCCACGATTTGTAACGGGCGGCCAGGTGCCCGGAGAGGCACGGAGAAAAAATGTAATGCCACGCACGTGGTGGTTGCCCGCAGTGCGGTGACGGTGTTGGCTGGCGGGGCCTGCGTTGCCGTGTTGAGCGTAGTGGTTGTGGCCGTGTTGGCTGGCGGGGGCCTGCGTTGCCTCGCTGAGACTGCGGTGGTTGTGGCCGTGTTGCCCGCAGTGCTGGTGAGAAAAGAGAAGAACGGCAAGGCTGGCCTGGTTCTTCTTGATCACGGCCTCTACGAGCATCTCAATGAGCGGTAAAAAAAAGCACTTTGGTGGTGTCTGAATAACATCAGATAAATTTAAATTATTTTTTGTTATACAGCGTAATTTATTCATATTTTAGACTTTGTCACGTCCACAGTTTTGTGAGATGCGGGAAAACCACAGAGACGGTAGCCAAAATTGTTGCCCCTCATCACGACGGCCCCAGTCACCACGGCCCCTCCATCACCACGGCCCCCGTCATCACGGCCCCCATCACCACGGCCCCCGTCACCACGGCCCTCCGTCACCACGGCCCCTCCGTCACCAAGGCCGCTGCAATGAAGGGGGGGGGTATCCCGCCCACCGTTGTGCGATCTACGGACAGTGAGAACTAAATTCCGTATCCCTTCTCCCTGCAGAGAAACTGGAGTTTTGAGAGAAGCCTCGAACTCTGGAGCAGAGCTCATGCATAGAGAGGGGGGGGGGGGGGTAGAGCGAGATGAGAGGGGAGAAGGTATGTGGGTGGAGAGACCAAGGAGAAAGGGACTGTGAAGATGGTGTCATACCTGAGGCGCTAATTAAATGAAATCTACATATTCATCCAAAGGAGCCATGCTGAGTCATGGGACTCTTTTTCAAGCAGGTCCTGATTTGATCTCATCTCGGAACTCAATATTTAATTACATATTGTTTTGAAATGTGTTATGGTTCAACAATAACAGGCAGCCACCACTGTTGTCGTGCATCACGCGGGATTCGGGGACTCAATAGATCTCACGGAGGATCGCTCCGCCGAATAGAATAGTTCCGCGGTTCGGCTCGTAAGTACGACCGAACGTTGGGAAGTCGGATGGTTAAAAATAATAACGTCTTGTCGTGCTTCCTTCGTATGTGCGGATGTTCGCAAGTCGGCCGTTCGTGTCTTGGGCACTGCCCGTAATTTATTCGGGTGCCGCGGTGGCGAGATGTTAACTCGCATGCCTGGTATGCAGGGGCGGAGCCAGGATTTTGACTTTGGGGGGGGGGGGGGGGCTGACTTCAATATTCTGAGATGTCCAGTGTATATTTTCCAATTGGATTTGAACGCGGAGTTTATTAATAGGTCGGAGCCGCTCATGTGGCTGATAAGTTCGATAAGTTCGAAAGGCTGCCGCTCAAGCAGCCTGCAGGGCAGCACAAGGTGGCAGCCTGCAGCATTTTGCAGCAGCCGGATCTCCGGTTATCCCGATTACCGACTTTCTCAATTTCAGGGGGGCTGAGCCCCCCCCCCAGCCCCCCCTGTGGCTCCGCCCCTGCTGGTATGCAAGAGGTCGTGGGTTAGATCCTGAACCCCGACGCCTATATATTTGGAGTTTGCGTGTCTCTCTCCTGTGGTCACTTAGATTTTTCTCCGGGTCCTCCTGTTTTACCCTCCACATTTTTAATCAACAAGCGTTTTAGAGTAGTTGGCTGCTATACATTTCCAGATGATAAGTCAAGCTGTCGTTTGTGGCCAGGCCGCTTCTGAAAAAGAGCTGCACACCTCAGCGGGCCTTACCCGGTTAAGGAAACATTGTTTGGCTTAATTGCTATTTTACTTAAACGGACATGTATGTGTGGCTTCGCGATAGATTAAACAGACAAAATAAGTATTGCCCCCTCCCCGTGTGCGTTATTTGTGTTGAGCTCAGGGACCGGCTGGCGCTCTGCCAGCTGTGGCGAGCGATCGTGCTGCGGCGGGACACCGACATGAGGCGCTTCTCGGCAGACCTCGGCGTGGGAGGTACGAGGCACCGTCGCAAGGCCACGCTCGGGTACACAGCTCGGCCCTGAGCGCCACATCTGATCTACGGCGGAGCGCTTGATTTATCGCCCCGGTCGGAGCTCGTGATTTATCGCCCCCAGTTATAAATCTTCCCACCGTCACAAGGGCGTGCCGCGCACGCTACGGTAGCCGAGGTGAGGCCTCGCAGTCGCCACCCACGTGGGGGAGGCTGCAGGTCGATCCCCGGGCTCCTAGCAGGCTCAGATATTTTGGGGTTTGCATGTTCTCCCCGCGGTCACGTGGGGATTTTCTCCGGGCACTCCGGTTCCCCCCCCCAACCCCCGCCGTGCCCCTCCCCACACTGAGAAACGTGCACTCTGATCGGCTACTCTTTTAAGTCCACACGAGATGAACGGCGACGACGCACTGGCCAGCAGAGGGCGGCAGTGCAAACCGCTGCGTTCACTCCTGGTCAGCGGGGAGTGTGGCCACGTCGCCCCTGAATTAGAACTAACCGGTTCCGTAGACATTACCTGGTAGAACAAGTTTAGTTTAGATCAGTGTTCTTCACTGCAAGGCCCGCAGGCTACTGGCGGCCCGTGGTGGCCCTTTAGTGTGGCCCCTGATGTGTGGCCCACCGACAATACACAAATATTGAAAACTCCCCATCGTCGTTGTGCTTTCAAACCCAACAATAGCTGCAAATGTGTGGCGGCTCTCACACTGATTGTATTAACGGCAAAAGTGAAAAAGAAAACCACTGGTTTAGCATATCGAGAATCACTTCAGACCAGATTTCCTCAACGAGGAATAATTCATGCGTAACACATGCGTGTGCACGTGTGTGTGTGCGCGTGTGTGTGCGCGTGTGTGTGCACGTGTGTGTGTGTGTGCACGTGTGTGTGTGTGCGTGTGTGTGTGTGTGCGTGTGTGTGCGTGTGTGTGTGTGCGTGTGTGTGTGCGCGTGTGTGCGCGCGTATGTGTGCGCGTTTTCGGCACGTGTGTGTGTGTGTGTGTGCACGTGTGTGTGTGTGTGCACGTGTGTGTGTGTGTGTGCACGTGTGTGTGTGTGTGCACGTGTGTGTGTGTGCGTGCGGCACAGACCACTTCCTGTTCTGTGAGATCCTGATGCAGCGACCGATCGACATGAACTCGCGGAATTTCCGGCTGGCGCACGCCCTTACGGCACCGGAGCTGCGCTACATGCAGGAGATGGCGAGGGAGCGCTTCGACCGCATCATGGAGGTACCACCCCCACCGAACCACACATGGGGCGGGGGGGGGAGCTCCTGTGGAGCGGCGGCCTCCGTTTATTTGCTGGTCCTATCATCTGGCTTCCATGAGAGATTCGTTCATGAGGCTATCCACATATACAAGCACAGAGACAATTTCAACCGAGAAGATGGATTCTGGCTTAGCAATCATTGGAAAGATTTGATAAACCATTTCAGGTCTTAATTGATTGTTCACGCTTACAGTGGCTTTCAGACAGCATACATTATAAAAAATTTCGTCTCCCCCCTCCTCTTTTCAGAATATAGATGGACTAGTCCTAAATAAACTGCCAAATCGTTGCGCGTGGCGCTAACGTTTTTTTATAAATAAATAAATGCGCCGTTTAAAAATAAATGTATGCAAACCAACACACCTGAAGATGACCGTTTGAGTTATGGTCGAAACGTCGTGAGAATTTTTTTATTGTTTTATATATATTTTATTATTTTGTTGTTTCCCTTCAACGTGACTTTACCGAAAAAAACTAAGAATATGAATACCATAAAACATCGTCGCACGCCTCCTGGCTTTAACATTCCTCCTCTCTGAAGACTACGGTGGTGGAACCATCAACAGCATCAGAACATCAGTTAGCACGGTTGCCTATGTACGGCGTGAAAGAAGTTCCACATACAGTGCATAGAGCAGTAAACAAAATCTACGTGCAACAGCAGGCCGATGCGCACCACATCTCCTTGCACGAGCAGAAAATTAAAGACACGGGGCCGCGGTAGTGCAGTTGTGGCCATGCAACCCAAACTATGGACCACGGAGTAAACCCATCCTCATACAGATACGTAGAGATACACAGGAGACCGAAAGGTAAACATATGTAATTAAAAACATGAGCAAAATTATTGTGATATTGTTGCCATGCAACCCAAACTATGGACTGTATAATGAACCAATCGAGACGCATAGAGATACACACAGACACATAGAAATACATAAAAAATGAGCCATGCACAGAAGTGTGACTATAGTCATGTAAACCAAACTGTGAGCTATATCGTACACCACTGTGGTCTGCACGCCTTCAACGGAGGAGGAACAGCGACACGACACAAACTCTCTCTGCTAAGGCCCTCTCAGCGTGGCCAGCAGCAGCAGCAAACCTCGGCATTGGCATCGAGCTCCTGAACTTATTGCTGCTGCCATCAACATGCACAAGAATAGCATTTATTAACTTTTTGGACTGAATCGAATGTTTGTGCGGAAGAAAAACTAAAGGTGCCTCGAGTATCGGGAGTGGTGGAAGTCCTGGCATCGGGAACAGTGCCCTGGAGTCTTTACTGCTGCTCAGGGTTGCAGTACGAAAGAAGTTCAACATACATACATACATGCACAGCACAAACTCTCTGATCCGGCACTTTATCATACGAAATGCTTATTTTGTGAGTATTATACCCGGGACGGTTGAGACACTCGCCAGGCGGCTCTTCGGGAGGGTGAGCGGCTCGCAGTCGGAAGTTCGCGGGTTCAAATCCTGGTTGGGGGTTGACTCGGCCCACCATCCCTTCCAGGGTCGACAAAATAAAGCACCACTTTGTGTGGAAGTTAAACAAGTGGCTATCCAATGGATAGACCCATCCCTTGCCATAGACATGAGGGGATTCCACCGCTGGCTCTTGCAGGGCTATAATCACGACATGAGCACCAATGGCGCGGTTGAACGAGCGTCGCTCGGGACGTGTTGGCTCTGCGCAGGTGCTGAAGCAGTTGCCACGGCCGATGCTGCTCGTGTTCCGAAACATAAACACGATCCGCTGCATCAACATCACGCTCGGCTCTCCCGTCGACCGCTACACCCTCATGGCTCGCAGGTGAGGCCGCGGGCAACCGTGGATCCTCCGTGATGAGCGCGGTTTGGTTACGTACGGCGCGAATGAAATTCAGCACACACACGTACATACAGTGGACGCCGCGTCTCCCGTCGCTGTTCTCCGCCACGCGTTTCGCTTGTCGCCCCCGTCACTCGGCCCGCACGTCATCTCCCGTTGTCTCCCGCTGCCCTCCCCGCGGGAGGAGTACAGAGTGAGCCAGAGGTGCCGTAGCGGGGAGATGCATGGAGCGAGGGAAACGGACTCAGCAGCAGCACGATAGAGGCGTCAAGTTAAGAGACACGGTATCGGAGAGAGGGAGGGAGGGAGGGAGAGAGGAGGACGGAAGATATGGATGACATGAAGCACGTGTTTTTTTTATTGGCATGAAATGTGTTCCTTGATGCAACATTTTCCGAGCTCAGTTTTTCCAACGAGATCAATTAGCTCTCTCTCTCTTTGCCACGCAAGGTGCCACCGTACACTACAGCAGTGAATCATTACTCATAAAAAAAACCCCAAACCAACTCTGGCTCCGTCCGATCGTGCACACTACTCGCATGGCATATCCGCGGTGGGCTTCAATACCGGCGTGGCCTAGCAAGTTGAGACAAATGAAAACCTGAGAATGGTGACTGCCACTTTTACCGGACATCTGTGAAAAAGAGCTGTGTAGCCCATCGGATTCCTCCAGTCTAAATAGAGATTCTGATTTCGATGCTGAAGGCACGTGCACACGTTTGTGTCGCAGTGCGGTGCGCGGAGAGGTGGTGCTGCAGAACCGGCACAGGGGGGGCGGCAGAAGGGTTCCGTTGGTGGCCTGCGCCCTGAGCCTCTGGGAGAAGATCAAGTTTGAATTCGCCCTCAGGTAAAGGCTCGGTAAACATTAAACGTCGCACTCTCTTGTGGCGCATACTCAGCCCCCACTGGGTTGTGGGGAGATACACGGCCCTCAGTGAGAGACACGGCCCTCAGAGACACGGCCCTCAGTGAGAGACACGGCCCTCAGTGAGAGACACGGCCCTCAGTGAGAGACACGGCCCTCATAGAGAGACACGGCCCTTAGAGAGGGACACGGCCTTCGGAGAGAGACACGGCCCTCAGTGAGAGACACGGCCCTCATAGAGAGACACGGCCCTTAGTGAGAGACACGTCCCTCGGTGATAGACACGGCCCTCGGTGAGAGACACGGCCCTCGGTGAGAGACACGGCCCTCGGTGAGAGACACGGCCCTCGGTGAGAGACACGGCCGTCAGTGAGAGACACGGCCCTCAGAGAGAGACACGGCCCTCGGTGAGAGACACGGCCCTCAGTGAGAGACACGGCCCTCAGAGACACGGCCCTCAGTGAGAGACACGGCCCTCATAGAGAGACACGGCCCTCAGTGAGAGACACGGCCCTCGGTGAGAGACACGGCCCTCAGTGAGAGACACGGCCCTCAGTGAGAGACATGGCCCACGGTGAGAGACACGGCCCTCAGAGAGAGACACTGCCCTCAGAGAGAGACACGGCCCTCAGTGAGAGGCACGGCCCTCAGTGAGATATACGGCCCTCAGTGAGAGACACGGCCCTCAGAGAGAGACACGGCCCTCAGAGAGAGACACGGCCCTCAGAGAGAGACACGGCCCTCAGAGAGAGGCACGGCCCTCGGTGAGAGGCACGGCCCTCAGAGAGAGTCACGGCCCTCAGAGAGAGACACGGCCCTCGTTGAGAGACACGGCCCTCGGTGAGAGACACGGCCCTCGGTGAGAGACACGGCCCTCGGTGAGAGACACGGCCCTCAGAGAGGGACACGGCCCTCAGAGAGGGACACGGCCCTCAGAGAGAGACACGGCCCTCAGAGAGTGACACGGCCCTCAGTGAGAGGCACGGCCCTCAGAGAGTGGCACGGCCCTCAGTGAGAGACACGGCCCTCAGAGAGAGACACGGCCCTTAGTGAGAGACACGGCCCTCGGTGAGAGACACGGCCCTCCGAGAGAGACACGGCCCTCGGTGAGAGACACGGCCCTCAGTGAGAGACACGGCCCTCAGTGAGAGACACGGCCCTCAGTGAGAGACACGGCCCTCAGTGAGAGACACGGCCCTCAGAGAGAGACACGGCCCTCAGAGACACGGCCCTCGGTGAGAGACACGGCCCTCGGTGAGAGACACGGCCCTCGGTGAGAGACACGGCCCTCAGAGAGAGACACGGCCCTCAGTGAGAGACACGTCCCTTGGTGAAATACACGGCCCTCAGAGAGAGACACGTCCCTCAGTGAGAAACATGGCCCTCAGTGAGAGACACAGCCTTCAGTGAGAGACACGGCCCTCAGTGAGAGACACGTCCCTTGGTGAAATACACGGCCCTCAGAGAGAGACACGTCCCTCAGTGAGAGACACAGCCTTCAGTGAGAGACACGGCCCTCAGTGAGAGACACGGCCCTCAGTGAGAGACACGGCCCTCAGTGAGAGACACGGCCCTCAGTGAGAGACACAGCCTTCAGTGAGAGACACGGCCCTCAGTGAGAGACACGGCCCTCAGTGAGAGACACGGCCCTCGGTGAGAGACACGGCCCTCAGTGAGAGACACGTCCCTCAGTGAGAGACACGTCCCTCAGTGAGAGACACGGCCTTCAGTGAGAGACACGGCCCTCAGTGAGAGACACGGCCCTCAGTGAGAGACACGGCCTTCAGTGAGAGACACGGCCCTCGGTGAGATAGACGGCCCTCGGTGAGAGACACGGCTCTCAGTGAGAGACACGGCCCTCAGAAGGCAGTTCGTGGCAGTGTGTACCATTGTGGCAGGCTTGTGTTTTAAGACTGATGCGATTTTCCCAACACTGTGTGGCGGTGGGCACAACAAATGTTGGAGCCCTTGTTTTCTCAGTGGTGCCATATACTTGAGCTCGATGCCAAGTTTCCTCCCGCTTTCAAATGAAGTGCCGCCCCCTGCGACACCCCCTGTGACGCCGTTTACTGCGACGACAATGTGCAGCGACGTTTCCTCTGAGCACGTGGCTGCAGTTCTTTTTTTCTGCAGCGGAATTGCGACCGTCGCCGTGTGCGTTGTGCGCAGGTCACAGACGTGGCGGATGAAGGCCGCCGCACGGATGCTCCGGCTGTTCGCCTGGCTGGGCCTCATGAGCTTCGAGGGAGAGATTGTGGAGTACCTCGAAGCCTGATGTTGCAGCTGCGAAGAAAATAAAATCTTGGGCAGAGGCCAGGGCTATGAGGGTGTGCCGTGAAGAAGGACCGTTGCCTGAAACGTCGCTGATTTTATATATCTTTATTTTCATTTTGAGGCCATACAATGTTGTTGCCGAATGTATTTGTGGTTGTACACCGCAGCCAAAGCAGCCACTATCACAGCTGCAGCAGATGATTTGTTTAATTCTCCCGTACGTGAAGGCCAAGGAGAAGTAACTTCGGTCACTCACGAGAACAACGAAGCCAACTGTAACTTGGGCAACTTTCGTGCCTGCGTGCGTGCGTGCGACGTGGCACCGCTGTGCGGCCACTGCCGGGACTGCTTCGTATTCACAGCGGCTCTCCGTGGCCGCTCTGCGGGTGGCGTGCAACACGCTCCCCGGGTGCGGAGAGCCGAGCGCGACTCGTCGCAGCGACGTGCCGTCTGCGAACGCTCGCGAGCGTGCCGCTGACACTTCGCAAATAAAACTGCGCTGAAACTGAAATGCAGTAGTCGGTAAAAACTCGTCGAGCGTCGCCGGAAAGCAGATCTTGACGGCGGCGACCGGCAGTGCGAGGAGTGAGGATCGTTTTGAACGCACGGGGAAAAAAACCCGAGCAAGTCTCCGCACCAGCCTTAAACATGGCCAGGGAGATCGACATTCCCAAGCGTCGCGAGGCACGGAATTCTAGACCTTACTAGGCGCAGTGGAAAAAGAGATGCCTCCCCTCCCTCGGAGGTGACGTACGTGTACCATAGGTTGAACTTCTTTCACACTGTACATAGCCAACCAGGCTTATTGGAGGTGCGGGATGATAAACCACGGCTACGTGAGGAGGTCAGCACTGGAATGGAGAGGTCGAGGAGGGCTGGTGGACGGGGTCCGTAAGCAGCAATACATTGATGACAAACTTGCAAAAATAAGCACGCCGATATAACAGTTGATCTCCTTCCGCGGAGCTCAGGGTACAAGTAGCGCGATCGCGGCTCCGGGTTCTCGGCAGAAGTCTGGCGGGAATTCTGAACCAATCCGAGATTTTAGCGGAGCAGTTGGAAGCCCGGAAAAAATAGCGGTTTCGCAATCGTCCGACGGGGATGTGTTACGACGCGTAAACTGGGGTTCTCGGGCACCCGTGGACGGCAAGAGGGGCGCCTGAGAGCCGGCGTCTCGCGGCCGTGGGGAAGACACGCGGCTGGCGCCGGGCACGCGGAACGTGGGAGAGCTCGGCGGTGTACAGATCTCGATTTAAAGCTTTCGTGACTGCAAGGATTCATCTTCTTTGGTTCTTTCGGTAAAGTCACGTAGAATGAGAATAAAATAATAAATTGATAGAATAACAAGACAGTCTCGTCCCTTCACCTGATGAAGGCCGCTTGTGTTGTGGCCGAAACGTCGTGAGAATATTATTGCGTTATTTTATTTTATCAATTTATTATTTTATTCTCATTCTACGTGACTTTACCGAAAGAACCAAAGAAGGTGTACAGATCGCTCCGCGCTGTGCTGCACGGGAATTGTCCGGTGTTTGTCGAGTGACGTCGCGACGGTAGCGAGATTTTAACTACCTTGCCTGGTATGCAGGAGGTCGTGGATGTTCTTTCCCTGTGGTTGCGCGGATTTTTCCCCGGGTCCTCCAGGTTTTTCGCCTCCACGTGTAGAATCAGCGTGCGTTTTAAGAGTATTTGGCCGCTATAAATTCCCACGTGCTGATGATAGGCCATCATCGGCACGTCGCTTAAAGAAAGAGCTCGATAGCACAGAGTGGGCCTTTCCTGGGTGCCGTGGCGTAAACGTCGCGGCCGAATGGGCGGGCCTCGCGCTGCCCCCAGTACGCATGGCCACGCGCCGTGTGAACCCCGCTGATGTTCAAAACGACACCTTCGCTCGTCGCCTCCGCTTTCGTGTCTAGTTGCGGTTCACGAGATTCCGCTTGTGACCAAGGGTGAACGGTTGTCGGTTGTATTGCACAAACGTGACGGTGTTTTCCTCTTATGCTTCGAGAGTTTTTTTTTGCTACGCGAAAATCGTAAAACAAATCCAACGCGAAATTAAATTGGTGGCTTTTGAGCACCGCACACTAAACGGGTTAATGCGTCGCATTGTATAAACGTGTGAACCGATGGAACGCTTTCTAGAAGCTTCCCCCGTTCAAGTGGTTCTCGTTAAACACTCTCTCACACACACACACATGGGTCGAGTTCCACCAACGCATAACACAGGGCTATTGAGATGTCCTCTTACGTTACAATAAAAACTGGTGAGGATGGAACGCGGGGCTCGGGTACGGACCATGGAAAGCCACTCTCCGGGAGACGCGCGAGGTGGCGCAGAGCGGAGAGGCATTACCACAAGCAGATCCGCCTCTGTGAACAAGGCCGGCATTGGTGTCTTATTCAGCGGCCGAATTGAACGCTGTGCTACGCTGGGCCAGTCCAATCTGATGTTAAGATGTAAAACTGTTTTCATTTTACCACGTAAAATAGACATAAAGCAACCTGGACCACACATGATAGCTCAACAAAGTGGCGTATCGCGTGGAAATGTATAGCAGGCAAATTCTCTAAACGCGGGACGTTGATTCTGAATGTGGAGGGGAAAACCGGAGTGTCCCGGAGACAAATCCACGCGACTACGGGGAGAGAGAGAAAAAACATGCCAACTCCCAAGTATACAGCAGGCGTCAGGGTCTGGCTCGAAGCCTTGACCTCCTGCTTACCAAGCGAGGTCTTTAACATCTGACCTTTGACCACTAATCTCAAAGCGTGTATCTACAGAGGCCCAAGGGACTGGTGGCTACGCTGCACGTGGCTTCCTGTGAAGCAGCAGCGAGGGTTGGTGGATCGCCGCGCATAGACGCCGCTGTGAAACTCCATTCCCGTGGGTGGGCGTCGAGTTAGTGCCATGCCGTGGCTCGCCAGCAGAGGGCGGTACAGCATGAATGTGGACTCCACGTGTTCGCTGTATGGGGATAGATCGGTGTTCTTCAGTTGCCAGCCCCGCAGGCCGCTGGCGGCTCCTGATGGCTTTAGTGCGGCTGCCTGACGTGCGGCCCCCGACAATACACAACATGTGAAAACAACACCCCCCCCCTCCCAATCGTTGTGCTGGTTTCAAATGTGTGGCCCCCCTTTCACTGATGACGTCTTATCGGCCACTGGGATAGAGTGTTGCCCCCTCCTTGCACGCGTGGGTTTTGTTCCCTATGAGTGTTCCGGTTTCCGCCAGCATATACACATTCATTGTCTGGTAACACCTTAACATACAGAGGACCGCAGAACTCGGAGGTGCCGGGGGTGGGTCATTTGGATCCGGCTCACCGCCTGGTGCCTTAGCTGTGGTTGCTCCTGGCGCCTCGAGGCTCGTCCCCTCTCTCTCCACGAGAACGAGGGGACTGTGTGGCAGCGCGTGACAAATTGAACATTGCATCATCGTTGTAGGGGTTGGGGAGGGAAGGACTCCCACTCTCTTCGAGTGCCAATCGAATTTCATTGTCACAACGAGTGCCAAACTCGGCACTTATTCCAGTCTTATTCGCAGCCCGTAAATAGCTGGAACATTCACCGGGTAAGATTGCTCTGGGCCACCAATCGCAAATAGAAGGGGGTCCCCTCCTTCCCTCCCTTGGTCCGGTGTTTTGCTTCCGACAAGGGGTCCTGTTAATCAACAAAGCCGCTGCACTGCCACGCTCCGCCCGTGACCTCTCTGGCCCCGTTCTGATTGGCTGCGAGGGAGTCGGGGGGGGGGGTGTTGATCCCTTGCCCTTGCAATGACCGTAAACACCGCAATCTAACGGACCCCGTGCATCATTCACACGCCTCCTTCCACAACATCATCATCATCATCCTCGCCATCACCCTTGCTACTAATCGTCACGATCATCATCTTCCTTTCGACCCCTTTAGCACGCCCTTCGGTTACAACACAGGGGACGTATCGTTTGCAAGAGTGTGCATGGTGGCCTATGGAGAGAGGTTGGTTAGGTGTCAATCCGCTCCCCTTGTACGACGGGAAACGCTTTTATGTGACAGGGACGTCCGGTTTGGGGGGAGCCGCTCGATAGCGTCGAGTGAAGAAATGGAATTCCCGATCCTAGCAGTTGACATCGAAGGGTGACGCCTTAAGGATGAAGACGTAGACACCTAAGCGTGGGACGAATCAAGTGAAGACGTTCATACGGCGTCGAGATGTCTGCGAGGGAGTTTGTGGAGAGCGGGCGAGCGAGGAGGCTTCCGCAAAGGCAGCGAAGATTGTATCGGGGCAGAGACGCTCATCGGTGCTCAGAGAACGCAGCTCGCCTGGTGGAGTGAGGGCTGTCAAAGAAAACTGGTTGCGGCTTCACTGCTGCTCAGGACTGGTACAGTGAGGGAAAAAAAGTATTTGATCCCCTGCTGATTTTGTACGTTTGCCCACTGACAAAGAAATGATCAGTCTATAATTTTAATGGTAGGTTTATTTGAACAGTGAGAGACAGAATAACAACAAAAAAATCCATAAAAACGCATGTCAAAAATGTTCTAAATTAATTTGCATTTTAATGAGGGAAATAAGTATTTGACCCCCTCTCAATCAGAAAGATTTCTAGCTCCCAGGTGTATTTTATACAGGTAACGAGCTGAGATTAGGAGCACACTCTTAAAAAGAGTGCTCCTAATCTCAGCTTGTTACCTGTATAGAAGGCACCTGTCCACAGAAGCAATCAATCAGATTCCAAACTCTCCACCATGGCCAAGACCAAAGAGCTCTCCAAAGATGTCAGGGACAAGATTGTAGACCTACACAAGGCTGGAATGGGCTACAGAACCATTGCCAAGCAGCTTGGTGAGAAGGTGACAACAGTGCGATTATTCGCAAATGGAAGAAACACAAAACTGTCAATCTCCCTCGGCCCGGGGCTCTATGCAAGATCTCACCTCGTGGAGTTGCAATGACCATGAGAACGGTGTGGAATCAGCCCAGAACTACACGGGAGGATCTTGTTAATGATCTCAAGGCAGCTGGGACCATAGTCACCAAGAAAAAATTGGTAACTACGCCGTGAAGGACTGAAATCCTGCAGCGCCCGAAAGGTCCCCCTGCTCAAGAAAGCACATATACATGCCCGTCTGAAGTTTGCCAATGAACATCTGAATGATTCAGAGGACAACTGGGTGAAAGTGTTGTGGTCAGATGAGACCAAAATGGAGCTCTTTGGCATCAACTCAACTCGCCGTGTTTGGAGGAGGAGGAATGCTGCCTATGACCCCAAGAACACCATCCCCACCGTCAAACATGGAGGTGGAAACATGCTTTGGGGGTGTTTTTCTGCTAAGGGGACAGGACAACTTCACCGCATCAAAGGGACGATGGACGGGGCCATGTACCGTCAAATCTTGGGTGAGAACCTCCTTCCCTCAGCCAGGGCATTGAAAATGTGTCGTGGATGGGTATTCCAGCATGACAATGACCCAAAACACACGGCCAAGGCAACAAAGGAGTGGCTCAAGAAGAAGCACATTAAGGTCCTGGAGTGGCCTAGCCAGTCTCCAGACCTTAATCCCATAGAAAATCTGTGGAGGGAGCTGAAGGTTCGAGTTGCCAAACGTCAGCCTCGAAACCTTAATGACTTGGAGAAGATCTGCAAAGAGGAGTGGGACAAAATCCCTCCTGAGATGTGTGCAAACCTGGTGGCCAACTACAAGAAACGTCTGACCTCTGTGATTGCCAACAAGAGTTTTGCCACCAAGTACTAAGTCATGTTTTGCAGAGGGGTCAAATACTTATTTCCCTCATTAAAATGCAAATCAATTTATAACATTTTTGACATGCGTTTTTCCGGATTTTTGTTGTTATTCTGTCTCTCACTGTTCAAATAAACCTATCATTAAAATGATAGACTGATCATTTCTTTGTCAGTGGGAAAACGTACAAAATCAGCAGGCGGTCAAATACTTTTTTCCCTCGCTGTAGCTTTTGGTGAGTCGCAGCTGGGCGAACAGAGAGAGGGGGGGGGGGGTATGCGACAGGACGACGGATGGTGGAGACTCCTGCTGATGCCATCCCAGCTGGGGGGGGGGGGCGTGTCAGTCGCCTGGTGCAGCCGCGGCTGGTGGGTGACCTGGTGACGCGTGACGGCACGAGGTTGTTACTTGTTTGCCGCGTGCGAATGTTGTGGCCATAAACCTCTCGACGCCTGCCCCGTTGCTACGGAAGCAAAGAGTTTTAGTGCGGACGGGCACCGCGGGAGGCTACAGCGGTCTCATCAGAGGGGAAGAAACTTCGCGTTCAAGGGTTAGGGCTGTGCACGGTGCCAGGGTAGGTGCGTCAAGCCGAGGGCAGTGCGCGTGTGTTCCAGGGGTGGGGCGGTGGCGTTGTGGTTAGCGCACTGCGCCACGAAGCAAACCCGTCGACCACAGTTCGATTTCCCACTCGCAGCCAGCTTCTGTGACGAATATCTAAACCCCATCCTGGACCTCCCCTAGGTCGACTCAGTCTGAAATGAATACCTGGTGCGGTGTAAGAAAGCGGTCTCATCAATTTCAAAAACAATGCATATATTTTCAGAGTATGTTTTTTTGTTTGCATTCTAACCACAAGCATTGTGGTTAATGTAGACATGAATCCTTGTTAAAGGTTTCAGTTTGGTGTTTTAACATCTTAACACCTGTTTTGTTGCCAGATAAAAGGGGACAAACCTATTATCATCGGTGTATAAACATCAACACTGGGTAGACAAAGACGGCCGGGCGTGGTGTTGGTCACCCATCCCCTCGTGTGCCCGTGTCGGTCTTCACAGGCGCTAATCGCTAAAAAACACTTGCCCCGACAGTCTGGCAGGCCTACCCGGGGGATCTTTGCGTTTACAAAACGGGCAGAATCAGGGTCTTTATTTATCCTGGACGAATCCGATGAGCTATGAAGCTCTTTATCACAACAAGCGATACGCGAGTGCAGATGATAGGAAATACGTGGCAGTGACTCAAAATAAAGTACATGAGTACAAATTGATAAAGTACACCAAATCCTGCCGATTTTTTTTTTCCCGATTCGCACGGTTGGCTTACGAATGTGCGAAAGAAGTTCAACATACAGTACATACAAGCTTGGGCAAGGCAGTAATGTCATCTGAAGGGGAGACTTGACAGACCTGCACGATCTCGTCAGCTGGCACCAGAACCGTCCTTAGCGGGAGGTGCCGGGCCCCGGGGCAAACCCCCACAGCGTGGGCCCCCCGACGCCTTCATACCCACGCCGTGACGTCGAAGCGCGCCACCCCCCCCCCCAAATCGCGGGGCCTGGGGCTGCCGCCCGATTCACCGTTACCATAAGTTCTGCCTGTTATCGACATGAACATAAACATGGGCGCGTGGCGCGCACTGAACATGGGGCGTTGTAGCATTACCTGGACTGTAACTTAACTGAAATATCGTCTGCATTGCCGCGGAAGTCCGCTGCTGCTGCTGCGGTGGTGATGGCGGTGGTGAGGATGTCGCCGTAATTCTCATTGACTATTTGCACTGCCGAGCGCCTTGAGGCTCCTGTGAGCTCTGCGTGGTGTACGGCCTGGCAGGGCCACGCGTGCGGTGGCCTGGCCTCAGCAAGCTGGAGAGAGTCTCGCGGCGGTGGTGGTGGGGGGGGGCACTTGGCACTGGAGTTGGAGAGCGAGCAAGTCAAAGTTAATCTTATTTACCACGGTGAGACCCAGATGAGTCTCCATGGGGCCATTTATTGCCGGAATCAAAATGATGCAAAAATAATAAGAGGCTTTAACCCTACCCTTTCTCTCAATAATGTACAGGAGGTGTTAAGATGTTTACTCACAAAGTAGACAAACCCCATTGCAAGGCATCGTCAATTCTGCATGAATCACACATCATGCTTGTGGTTAGAAACATGCAAACACACAAACATGCTTTGATAATAATGCATGCGTTGCCTTTGGAACTGACCGGCCTGCACGGGAGACAGCCTCCTTCACGGCCTTGTCCCCTGCACCGCACTTAGAGCAGACTAACAGCAACCAAGGCATCGCAAATATCCAAGCGTTGATAGCTCGGGTTGAGGGGCCCGTAGAGATGCGTCTCATTCGCGAGGGTGACCCGGGGTCACCAACAAGACACGGGCAGCAGCAGCAGCAGCGACGGCGACAAACAACAGACGATTCCACAACGCAGCGAATAGAGATGAGAACATTTTTTTGTACTTTTAAATACTTTGGGAAAATCAAGGAACATATTCATAAATGTCGGTGTGTGGGGGTGGAGGGGGGCTAGGTTCGGGTGACTATAATTGAACGAGCGGCGACCCGACGGGGCGCGCCTCCGCCCTTGACATAACGCAGAGCGGCGTCGCTCGGAGCGGGCGGTGATAGGGGGTAGGTATACAACTGCATCGGGGTGGCGAGAGGCACAGAGGTGGAGATGAGTGAATGGGGGGGGGGGGGTGCGAGCCTGTGGTTCGTGGGTGGTGGGGGGGGGGGTTACCTTGGAGGCGCCCAGCAACAGCGGGAGGGGCCGCGCGCTGCACCTGGGCGCGAGGCGCTGCGCATTTAAAGCCCCGCTCAGGTGTGGGTGCGTGGAGACTGCTGCTACTGCTGCTGCTGCTACGACTGCTGCTGCTGCTGCGATATCTCCACTGCTGCTGCACGTGAGTTCGTGGATGTATGCGTGCCCGCTCCCCCCAGTGAGACGTGCGCATGGAGACGTCTGTGTTGCCATCGGTGAATGAGGACGACATTCCCAGTCACGCGCTGCAGGCGACGTGAAAAGGACGGAGACGTGTGGATGAAGCCGTGGACGTGTGTGTTAGAGTGTGTGTGTGTCTGTGTGTGTGTCTGTGTGTGTGTGTCGGGGAGCGGTGGTGTAGCGGTTAGCGCGCTGCGCTACGAACCTGGCGATCCGGGTTTGATTCCCGCTCACGGCCAACACCAGTGACGATTATCTGAACCGGTCCTGGGCCTCCCCCTAGGTCGACTCAGCCTCAAATGAGTACCTGGTGCGGTGTGTAAACATCGCCACTGGGGAGACAAAGGCGCCCGGGCGTGGTGCTGGCCACCCACCCCCTCGTGTGCCGTGCCGCCCTTCATAGGTGTTCGCTTACAGCACTTGTCCCAACAGTCTGGTAAAGGCTATACGGGGGGATCTTTGTCTTTTGAGTGTTTTATGGTGGGGTACTGTAAGAGTTCATTTACAGGACTGTATTTACAAGTGGTGGTGGTGCTGCTGCTGTTGCGTTGACAGTGGTGCACGATTAATAACAATAACGCAAACAACCTCAACATATTCCTCAATGATAGCTCTGTGTGTGGCCTGAACAGAAAATTGTATATGTGCTGTTTAAAAAAAAGGGTTTGCTTTTCAAAGGATGGCGATTCTATAATGAAGGGGATTGTACGGTAAGGGGACGGCGCCGCAGCCACGCGCGCGCCCGCACACAAAGACAAAGGGGTCCCCGTATAGCCTTCCACGGACTGTTGGGGCAAGTGCTGTTGGCGAACAGCACCGATGGAGATCGCTACGACACTCACTCGAGAGGGTGGGGGTAGGTGGCCAGCAGCATCAGGTCCGGCCGCCTTTGTCTCCCCGAAATGATGATGTTTTACCCTACCGGGTGCTCGTTTAAGGCCGAGTCGATCTCGGGGAGGCCCACGACCGGTTTCGGGAATTGGTCGCCGATGTCGGCTGTGAGCGGGAAGTCGAACTCGGGGCGCTGAGGTTCGTGGCGCAGTGTCCTAACCACTACGCCACCGCTCCCCACTACGGCACAAACACAAAGATTCCCCGTATAGCCGTGACCGACTTTTAGGGCAAGTGCTGTTCGCAAGCACCTGTGAAGGCCGGCATGGCACGCGAGGGAGTGGGTGGCCAGCACCACTCCCGGCCGCCTTTGTCTTCCCAGTGGCGATGTTTACACACCGCACTTGGAAGACAAAGGCGGTCAACGCTTACACATCGCCACTCATTTTAGGCTGAGTCAACCTTGGGGAGGCCGCTTTAGATCATCGTCACTGGCGTTGTCCGTGAGCGCGAATTGAACGCGTTAACCGCGACGCCACCGCTCCCCCACCCCCCGCACGCACACACAGACAAAGATTCCCCATATAGCCTTACCAGACTGTTGGGGCAAGTGCTGTTAGCGAGCACCTATGAAGGCCGGCATGGCACGCGAGGGAGTGGGTGGCCAGCACCACTCCCGGCCGCCTTTGTCTTCCCAGTGGCGATGTTTGCACACAGCACCAGGTACTCATTTTAGGCTGAGTTGACCTAGGGGAGGCCCAGGACCGGTTCAGATAATCGTCACTGGTGTTGGTCGTGAGCGGGAATCGAACCCCGGGTAGCCGGGGTTCGTAGCGCAGCGTAGCGCTAACCGCTACACACAGACACGCACACAGACACACATGCCGGACGTTATTTACGACGGGGGGGGAGTGTGGGATGAGGGCGAAAGTCCAGCGAGAAGTCCGCTCGTCGCGAGGGAGACGCGGAGACTCAATGGCGCTCTTCCCTCGCAGATCGCTCGCGCGGAGATGGCCGACGGGATGGACATGGCCTCCATCGAGGAGACGTTCAGGAGGTTCGCCGTGCACGGCGACACCAAGGCGAGCGGCAAGGAGATGAACAACAAGAATTGGGCGAAGCTGTGCAAGGACTGCAAGGTGATCGACGGGAAGGGCGTGACCAGCACGGACGTCGACATCGTCTTCTCCAAAGTCAAGTTGCGTGACTCAAACTCGCGCAGTTTCCAACCCACTCCTCCCCCCGTCCCGGTAGCCGCCGGCAAGTGCTGTTGTGACGAGTATCACCGGTGGATGGAGGCCGCTACGACACTCACTCGAGAGGGTGGCGGTAGTCGGTGGCCAGCAGCATCAGGTCCGGCCGCCTTTGTCTCTCCAAAATGATTGTGTTTTACACACCGCACTGGGTGCTCGTTAAAGGCCGAGTCAGTTCAGTTAATTTATTTGGTATAGCCCTGTGAGCCATGCGGCTCTTGACTCGGGTGCAACCGCAACAAACAAAAAACATGAACAAGAAACTTCTTAAGGAAAATCCAGGAAAGAGCAGCAAAGTGTTCCAGAAATACACACCGTATATCAACGCTGTGTGCAAAATTCCCAGTGGGATGCAAGTCAAACAATAACAACCAAAAGACAATATAGATTAAAGTTATCAGGCTCACTCTGTACTTCAACAAACAAACTTGGCTAAACCAAACGTTTTCGAAATCACCAAAATAAAGCTATAAAAGCAATGTAACAGTGATCATAGGAACTGTGATTCAAATTTAACAAGAAACGATATACATAACATGTACGACCAAACTTTTCAGCCATAGTTGGCTGCATGAGTCACTCCATAACAGCAGGAATTACAAAAAATGTCAATACACCTTTAAAGATCAGCACACTATAATCAAAACTCAAGATCATACTTTGCAGGAAGTGATCCGGAGCGATGCATTTGGTTTCAGGCCACTCTGCATAGCAGTGGCAGCTAGGGGTGTACAACTCCTCTAGAGCAGTTTTGAGTGAAGATCTTACAGGTAGTGATCCAAGTTGCGGTTTATTGGCGATAGCATTCCAGACCCTGGGGGCATCAATAGCAAAGGCCCTTCCTCCAGTATTTGTACGGCAATAGGGAATGTGAAGCTGGTAAATGAGCGAGGACCTTCGGTCACATTTGTGCTTCGAAACAGTGAGGAGATCCAGCAGGTAGTCTGCGGATTTTTTTTGTAAGTACATCGTGAATAAATAAGATCTGGTGCACAAGCCGTCGAACATTAAGATATGTTAAGTTTGACCCAATGCAGAGATCACAGTGGTGAGTCCTATATGGGCAGTTCAATGCAAAGCTTAAGGCCGAGTGATAGATGGAATCAAGCTTCTTCAGTACAGCTTTTATTAATTTCAAATGGAACATTTGGGGGAAGCAGTGCTTGTGTCGATACAGAAAACCAATTTTTTTTGTATTTTTACCAATATAATCAATGTGATCTTGAAAATTCAGTTTTGAATCAAAAATGACCCCAAGATACTTATAGATCTTGACTTGCTCTATTTGATAATTATTTAAGGAATGTAATTGGGGAAAAATAACTTCCCGCTTTAGTCCTGGTGAGAAGCATAGCACCTTGGTTTTGGAGGTATTCAGGACTAGTTTAAGAGCAACTAGCTGATGTTGTAGTTTGTTGAAATCACCCTGGAGCTTAGCAATCACGTCATCCGGAGAGCGGCCAGCAGTAATCAGTATTGTGTCATCTGCAAACAGATTTACCCTGGAATGATCCAGGTCAGTGCCCAAGTCATTGACATATAAATAGAACAAGAGGGGGCCGAGGATGGAACCCTGTGGAACCCCTTTTGTTATCTTAACATTGTTTGACCTCCAACCATCTGTGAATACAGTTTGGGTGCGAGAAGAGAGGTAATTTTTTTTAACCATTCTACTGCGTGTTTGGAGAAACCGAGGCAACTTAGTTTACTAAGCAGGGTGTTGTGGGCGACTGTATCAAAGGCGTATTACTGCTTATTAGCAATGCTACTGTAAATGTGATTTAGAGAGTCTAATGCAGCAGATGTGGTGCTGTATTTTTTTCGGAACTCAGATTGGTTTCGATGCAAAAGATTATTGTTGGATAGGAAACTGCTAATTTGGTAGTTCAATAATTTTTCAAAATTTTTCATCAACGGGGACAAAATTGAGATAGGTCGGTAGATATTTGCATCATCTTTAGGACCCCCTTTGTGAAGTGGACGAGTCGATCTCGGGGAGGCCACGACCGTGTTCGGAAATTGGTCGCCGATGTTGGCTGTGAGCGGGAAGTCGAACGGCCACCCTTGCACAGGGTAGCGGAGTTGACGCCCCTGATGGAGTTGACCCCCCTGATGGAGTTGACGCCGCTGGCGGAGTTGACGCCCCTGGTGGAGCTGACGCCCCTGATGGAGTTGACGCCGCTGGCGGAGTTGACGCCCCTGGTGGAGCTGACGCCCCTGATGGAGTTGACTCCCCTGGTGGAGTTGACGCCGCTGGCGGAGTTGACGCCCCTGATGGAGTTGACTCTGTTGGCGGAGTTGACGCCCCTGGTGGAGTTGACGCCCCTGATGGAGTTGACCCCCCTGATGGAGTTGACTCCCCTGATGGAGTTGACGCCGCTGGCGGAGTTGACACCGCCGGTCTAGGGATTGTGTTCTTTGCTTGTCCAACTGCTCGGGTTGAGGTCTCATTTGAGGTTGAATTTTTTTCGTGCCCAAACGCCACGTCAACCAACTCCAGCAGTCATTCGCCTCTTGTGAGTCGAATCATCCCGTGCCGCACCGCGTGCTGTACCCCCCCCCGTGCTGCACGAGAGATTCGTACCGCGTTCCCAGTTCCGTCCCGGCATCATTTGCGGTGACCAAGCGGTCGCTGTGGCCGCTGGCGAGATTACCGCGAGGTCGTTCGGGACACGAGGAGGTCACGAGGAGGTCACGAGGGCAGCGAACTCGCCCAGCAGCGGCTGGTGGAGGGGGACGCGGCCGTCGTGCCCGCGGGTCCTGGAACCGCCTCCACGTCGTGCCCATCCACTGCCCCCCCCCCCCCCCGGGCGACGCGACAACTCAACAAAATGTGACCCCTCCCCCTCCTCCCCCACCCCCCACCCCGGGTGCGCGCTCGCAGGGCCAAGTCGGCTCGCACCATCACCATCACGGAGTTCCACGCCGCCATTGCCGAGCTCGCGCCCAAGCGCTTCAAGGGCCGGAGCGCCGAGGAGGCGCTGCCAGCGCTGCACGCGCTGCTGGCCGGGGCTGCTCCGTCCAACACCGGCGTCACGGTAAACCGCACTGCCCCCCACACCCCACCCCCGCCGCCGCCGCCACCCCCCTCCCTCCCCCCCCCACCCCCTAAGCGCCACCTTTGGTCCCCGCGTTGTCCCGGCAGAAAGCGGCGGCGGTGGGCGGCGTGGATCGGCTCACGGACGCCTCCAAGTACACGGGCTCGCACAAGGAGCGCTTCGACGCAGACGGAAAGGGGAAGGGCAAGACGGGTCGCGCCGACACCGTGGTGAACTCGGGATACGTGGGCAACTACAAGGGCGTGGGTACCTACGGCGACAAGGTGGCCAAGTGAGAGGGAGCGCCCCCCGCTCTTCTCCCCCCCCACCCCCCCCCCCACCACCCCAGCCTCTGAATGCCACTAAGCTCCTTCACAGACACCCACCGCTGTGAAAAAAGAGCTTCATAGCTCATCGGATTCCCTCCAGTCTAAATAAAGATCCTGATACCGAGCCACCGGCGCCAACTGTGCACCTCACCGCCCCCGGCCTCGCCCTGCCAAGGGCCCCCACAGCCGCACGCGCGGTTTCATACGCACGGGGCACGCGTGCCATTGCGTCGGAGCGGCGGTGTTGTTGGCCACCGTTGCACGAGCGAGCACTTTGAGACAGTGGGGGCCGCGAGCGGCACGGCATCTGCCCCGACCGCAGCCTCCGCGTGTCGCTCGGAATGACCCGGATTGGTTCGTTGAGCTTCGAGCAAGTTCGCTGAAGTCAAACAATTCAAAGAATCTCACGATGCCCGGCAGAGATAAGGCGTCGTCGAGTTACCAAATGAGATAGAGACAGAGCAAAAGATTAGAGGAGCAGTGAGTCCGTGTGCGCACGTGTGTGTGTGTCAGTGTGTGCGTACGGTGTGTGTGTGTGTGTCAGTGTGTGCGTACGGTGTGTGTGTGTGTGCGTACGGTGTGTGTGTGTGCGTACGGTGTGTGTGTGTGTGTGTCAGTGTGTGCGTACGGTGTGTGTGTGCGTACGGTGTGTGTGTGTATGTCAGTGTGTGCGTACGGTGTGTGTGTGTCAGTGTGTGCGTACGGTGTGTGTGTGCGTACGGTGTGTGTGTGTCAGTGTGTGCGTACGGTGTGTGTGTGTGTCAGTGTGTGCGTACGGTTTGTGTGTGCGTACGGTGTGTGTGTGTGTCAGTGTGTGCGTACGGTGTGTGTGTGTGTGTGTGCGTGTCAGTGTGTGTGTGTGTGCACCAGCGCGTGTGGAAGTAAGAAAGGAGAAGCGATAATCACAGGGTCCGTGTAAGAGTTGACAAGTGTGAGCAAGCACGTGTGTTAAAGAGAGCACATGCGAGTATGCATGCGTGCAAGAGAATGTATGTGTGTGTGCATGTGTGTGATTGATTCTGTGCCATAACACCAACGGCATCATTGTCCTTGTGACCCTCTGGCCGCAAGCGAGCCCTTCGATGATGGTGGAAGTGGTGGCGGTGAAGGTGGAGGAGGCTTGTGAAGGATGCTACTGGGCAGTTGGAGGCAGTCACCCTCCAGCAACAACGGAGGGCAGAGAAGCGACGCTCACAACAACGAGCGGAGCGCCGGGCGGATAACATTCAGCAAGTTGGCACAGTGGTGGGTACAGCTGGTGCATCTACCAGTAATCTCAGTCAGCCAGCTCATGGCACCTGGGTCTGTCCCGGGGCCTGTCAGTTAGCCTTCGACATTTTGCGTGGCCTCAAAGCGCACCTAGCCTGGCACAAAGCGCTGTGGTGACGTCACCGCTACGTAAGTGTGCGTGTGCCCGGCTCACATGATGCCGAACCTACCCGCACGCACGTGCCCTGTGGCCAGGGCATCTACAGAATGGGACCAGATGTGCACTTGGGGTGGGAGGAGGCCAACTATAAACTATTATTTTTATTTTACCAACTAAGGGCCCCACTGAGCAACATCGCGAATTGTTTTCAGAAGCAACCTGGTAGCTCAATGAAGTGGCTCATCATCATCATCGCGTGGAAATTTATAGCAGCCAAATACTGTTAGACGCGTGACGATGATTCGAACAGTGTCCTGGAGGCGGGACAAGATAGTGTCCTGGAGGCGGGACAAGATAGTGCCCTGAAGGCGGGACAAGATAGTGCTCTGGAGGCGGGACAAGATAGTGCCCTCAAGGCGCGGATTGATTTCATGACACTGGATTTGTTCGTGACCCCGACACTTGAGTGAGCTCTCACCGCGGTCACGTAACAAAAAAATAAACCCCTTCCACCCTGTGATCGGGATCCTTGGCCGATTCAGACCCCCCCACCCCTACTCCCCTATCCCAACCTTGTCATCTCAAAGTCGTGATCGAGGCTTTACTTCGTGTGGTCGTGCACAGCGTGAACAATGCTCAGACAAAGCGCCGCGTTCCTTTAATCTCACGTTTACGCGACACCGTTTCAATTAACCGCGTCGTATCTGGTGACATTGCATTGATATTAAATACACCACTGGAATATTATAATGCGAGGTGTGATTCAGTGTGTGTGTGTTTCTTTGCCGAGTCCATGTGGGTGGTGTGGTTCAGTGTGTGTGTGTTTCTTTGCCGAGTCAACCTGGGTGGTGTGATTCAGTGTGTGTGTGTTTCTTGCCGAGTCAACCTGGGTGGTGTGGTTCAGTGTGTGTGTGTTTCTTGCCGAGTCAACCTGGGTGGTGTAATTCAATGTGTGTGTTTCTTTGCCGAGTCCATGTGGGTGGTGTGGTTCAGTGTGTGTGTGTTTCTTTGCCGAGTCAACTTGGGTGGTGTGATTCAGTGTGTGTGTGTTTCTTTGCCGAGTCAACTTGGGTGGTGTGGTTCAGTGTGTGTGTGTTTCTTTGCCGAGTCAACCTGGGTGGTGTGGTTCAGTGTGTGTGTGTTTCTTTGCGGAGTCTGCATGGGTGGTGTGATTCAGTGTGTGTGTGTTTCTTGCCGAGTCAACCTGGGTAGTGTGGTTCAGTGTGTGTGTGTTTCTTGCCGAGTCCATGTGGGTGGTGTGATTCAGTGTGTGTGTGTTTCATGCCGAGTCAACCTGGGTGATGTGATTCAGTGTGTGTGTGTTTCTTGCCGAGTCAACCTGGGTGGTGTGATTCAGTGTGTGTGTGTTTCTTGCCAAGTCTGCATGGATGGTGTGATTCAGTGTGTGTGTGTTTCTTGCCGAGTCAACCTGGGTGGTGTGATTCAGTGTGTGTGTGTTTCTTGCCAAGTCTGCATGGGTGGTGTGATTCAGTGTGTGTGTGTTTCTTTGCCGAGTCAACCTGGGTGCTGTGATTCAGTGTGTGTGTGTTTCTTGCCAAGTCTGCATGGGTGGTGTGATTCAGTGTGTGTGTGTTTCTTGCCGAGTCAACCTGGGTGCTGTGATTTAGTGTGTGTGTGTTTCTTGCCAAGTCTGCATGGGTGGTGTGATTCAGTGTGTGTGTGTTTCTTGCCGAGTCAACCTGGGTGGTGTGATTCAGTGTGTGTGTGTTTCTTGCCGAGCCCGCCTGCGTAGGTAAGGAGTGTGTGGGTGGAGGCGGCTTTGGCCTCCCGAATGGGACAGCCGCAGCTGCACAGAACGCCGCGATGTCGTGGCAACATTGGGCAAACAACTCCGGGCGCGTTCCTCGTTCCGCGCGGCAATTTGCGGGCGGCCTCCCCCCCCCTATCGCGGGGGGGGGGGGGGGGGTCGAGGCGCGCATCCCACACCGTGACCTGGCCGATCGTCTCGCCCACTACGTTTATGAACTTTTGGTTTTATTTGAGCAGGTAAGGGCTCCCGCTGAGCTGCTGTATAGCTCTTTTTCGGAAGCGAATTGGCTATCACAAATGAGAGCTCAACGAAGTGACATCGTCACGTGGAAATGTACAGCAGACAAATTTTTTTTGCTGAACGCGTGGCGATGTTTATTCTAAATGTTGGAGGGAAAAACAAAAACCGGAGGAACCTTTTCTCGGCACTAGAGCTCGTTGCTTCAGAAGCGACCTGGCCATCACAAACGATAGCCCAACAAAGTGGCTTCTCATAACGGTCACATTCATGGCAGCCAAATCCTCTAAACGCGCGTTCCTAAATGTGGAAGGAAAACCCGGAGGACTCCCGGAGAGAAATCCACGCGACCACGGGGAGACAGAGAGAGAGAGATAGAGACGCGCGAACTCCAAATATACAGCAGGCGTCAGAGTCGGAATCGAACCGACGATCTTCTGCGGACCAAGCGAGGTGGTTCACTTCTGGCCACCGTGGCGCGGGTGCTGGGCCCGAGACTTTTCGTCTGGGGCTCGCGGAGGCAACTACCATGAGTCGTGGGCGCGATACTTGGCGGCGGAGGGGACGCCTCGATGCCACCGTCACCTCTCGCGACTCCCGGAGTCTGCAGACACGCGAATTGCTCGGCCGTCCTCGCAGCGGCTTTGGGGTTAACCGTCGAACAAAGACGGCCACCGCATCCTTCCCCATATTCGGAAGCCACCGGGAGCTATGTACCTTTTAAATCGAGATTGACAGCTGTTTAGTTTAGTTTGCTATCCTCCACCCGCACCTCTGATGAGCGCGGTTGGCCACGTACGCTGCGAACGAAGTTGAACACGCGTACACGACAATACACAGTACACCGACACACTACGCTACGACACACTGCTATACACTACACCACTATACTACATTGAAAATACATTCATTCATGGCTGATTTTTGTGTTTAGTTGTCCTCCCCCGCCGCGCCTCCTTCAACGCGCGTACAATAACAATCATTTAGACAAATCCCTTAGAAGTTGGCGTCCTTTGGTGGCCTCGCCAGAGGAGTCGGATGGCGTGCACGAGCCAGGAGCCGGTGTTAGTTTAGGAGAGAGGGGAGCGTGGGGGTGGAGAGAGAACGGGAGGGTGAGCGAGGTGGGGGGGAGAATCCCGTCGCATCCGCCGCGTCCATGCTGTTGTTGCTGCTGAATGAATGCATCCAAGGTGCGGCGCCACTCGCTGTTGTCATCCTCCACGAGATGATGTGGGGGGGGGGGGTAGGGGGAGACGGGGGGGAGGGGTGGTCAAGTGGGGTGGGGAGACGCTGCGATGGGCCGATAGGGCCCCAGATCACCGATCCGGGCGGGGTTCAGCGACGTCGAAATCCCCGCGTTCGCCATGGCGACGACGACGCCAAACAAACCCCGACGGCGCTTTGTGTGCGTGTCTGTGCGTGTGTGTGTGTCTGTCTGTGCGTGTATGCGTGTGTGTGTGCGTGTGCGTGTGTGCGTGTGTGTGTGTGTGCGTGTGTATCTGTCCGTGCGTGTGTGCGTGTGTGTCTGTGCGTGTGTGCGTGAAGTGTCTGTCTGTGCGTGCGTGTGTGTGTGCGTGTGTGCGCGTGTGCGTGTGCGCGTGTGTGTGTGCGCGCGTGCGTGTGCGCGCGTGTGTACGCGTGTGTACGCGTGTGTGTGCGTGTGTGCGCGTGTGTGTGTGCGTGTGTGTGCACGTGTGCGTGTGCGCGTGTGTGCGTGTGTGTGTCTGTCCGTGCGTGTGTGCGTGTGTGCGTGTGTCTCTATCAGTGCGTGTGCGCGTGTGTGTCTGTGCATGTGCGTGTGTGTGCGCGTGTATGTGTGCGCGTGTGTGTTCGCGTGTGTGCGCGCGCGCGTGTATGTGTGCACGCGTGCGTGTGTGCGCGCGTGCGTGTGTGTGCGCGTGTGCGCGTGCGCGTGTGTGTGTGCGCGTGTGCGCGTGTGTGTATGTGCGCGTGTGTGTGTGTGCGTGTGTGTGCGTGTGTGCGTGTGTGCGTGTGTGTGCGCGTGTGCGCGTGTGTGTATGTGCGTGTGCGCGTGTGCGCGTGTGTGCGTGTGTGTGTGTGTGCGTGTGTGTGTGTGTGCGCGTGTGTGCGTGTGTGTGCGCGTGTGCGCGTGTGTGTGTGCGTGTGTGTATGTGTGTGTGCGTGTGTGTGTGCGTGTGTGCGTGTGTGTGTGTGTGCGTGGGTGCGCGTGTATGTGCGTGTGTGT